TAGATGTACAGTCTCCTAAATAAACTGTGAAACCAACGTACAAAGTCCCCACTATTATTCCATCTCATTATTGAATTCAAAATAATTTTGGTCAAGACGGGAAATGAGGGCTATAAAGATAACTTGTTCAATTATGGGATAAGTGTTCTTTTGAGTCAGAAAATGATAAATAATGGTTATGCCATTAATCAGAGAAATGTTTGGAATGAATAAATGAAACTTGCTTTGAATTAGAAGGTTGCTTTTATTTTACTTTTGAATATATACATTTTTTATACTTGAATTGAACGCAAAATACGGCAAAATATTTCTAAGAACGTAACAACTACAAATGAAACAATACAAAGCAACAAATTATAAAAGGCAAAAAACGTAAAAAAATCCAATAAAAAAATATTTTATCTTCGGAGGATGAATCTTCGCTAAGGTCTGAACTACTGTAATCTGGTTCAGTGTCCTATCTTCTCACAAGTTGATTATCATGTCGTCTACCATGAACTCTAATGTGGTTTTTTTTCAATGAAAAACTGTTCAAAACTTTGAGCATGCTCACATCGTTTTTTCCACTCAGTTTCAGAACACGCCCTGAAAAATTCATCGCACGGTCTTTAAGCTGAAATCTACATTTTTTTGTGCAACATATTGATTTGAAAACGCCCTCACTAACTCTATAGGATTTAAGTCAGGGTGGTATGGAGGAAGCCTTAGAACGGTATGCCCGTTGGCGCTCATAGTTTCATCAATTTCATACATTTTATATCGCGGTTTATGAATTTTAATTAGACAATACAAATCAATTTTTAACATATCTTCTGTAAAAGGTATGTTTCGTTGCCTTAGCCATTCCATCATTTCGATCTTTCTCTTACATAAAGTAGGAGACTTATTTACCTGCACATTGTAATTGTCTATCACTAAGACACTCTTTGATAGTAAATTAGGAATAAGCATCTCCTGTAGCCATTTTATATAATTCGTGCAGTTCATCTCGTTATGATAATCACCTGACTTCGTATTTGATCTAAATTTCAAATAAGTATTTTTCACAAAACCATTTTCACTGCCCGCATTCACTATTATTAGTCTTTGCCCTCTTGATACTGATTTATGTAAACCTTCACTAGTGTTGTCATTCCAGGTTTTTATGTGGATATGTGAGGAATGAATACTTATAGGTTTCGTCCATGAAAATTATGGATCGTTTTCTTTCTCGAAATTTTTTCATACTTCGCAAAACATTTGTTCTCAACTAAACGATATCTGGCTTTTCCATTAATAATTTCCGATTATTTTTCGTTTTCCTCCAACGAAATCCAATGGCATGCATACCTTTTCTCAAGCTTTCGTAGGAACCAGCATAGTTATTTTCGGATTTGAATTCATGATGTATGCGCCGAAGAGTTGAAACCTTTTTATCGACAGTATTATAATTAATAATAAATCTTCGAAGCAATACTTTATCAAAACCATCTAAAATAAATAATAGGTTTATTTTCTGCCGCTTCTCGTTGCATAAAAAAATTCATTTGCAATAACTTCTCCCGTTTGACTTTACAAATTAGGTTTGATCTAAACTCCATCATGGTTAAATTACAATACACAAATTGTACCATTCACACTTTATTTCTGCTCGAACTGTACACTCGATTAACCCACGATACTCACTTCACAACAGAAAAATTCGACTGTATGGGCAGTGGGCGTTTCCACTCCTGTCTTCTGCGCACAGCTAAGGCGGTCTCGAATTAAGATTTTGAACCTTTTTTCTGTTCTTGACAAACTGTATTCAATTCACCTAATTCTTGGTTAATAGGGTACATATTGCTAAATACAAAGTTTCGTTTGGAATTCATTATAGGAAATGAAAAATAAACCTGAGTTTTTTGTAAACTCAACTCATTGTCATCTTTATCCATCCATGAATTATCAATTTCTAATGAGTTGAAGTTTTCGAATTGAATTGAAGTTTTCGAATTTGTAATCATACATGGTTTGTTGTTAGTTTTGTTACACAAACTTCCAACCAGTTGAAACAGAGAGCCCAAACACAACACATTTGTGAACTAACATCAGACAGCGATATTTCCACCTCACAAAGGTCTCGTTAGTGGTACTAGGCTGAACCACAAATGCATTGATCGACTGAACTGTCCTTAGAGGGCAAGCCTAAGTGAAGGAGGGTGATATCATTTCCCCTCACGAAGACATCATCTATCGGCAGAGAACTCAATCCTTGAATATCGAATACGAGTATCGTCCTCTGTCTCTCACTGCAGCTTCCACAACAAGGCAACTAGTCAAAAAACAGAGCCCAAACACAACGTTCTATATCAGGAAAGTTATTCCAGTACCTGAAATTCGGATAATTTTTCTACTTTCAACTGATTTTTCAACAGTTTCTAAATCATTCACATTGGAAACATTTGCCGATATCTCTCATATCCAAGAAAAGACAAAATATCAAATACACTTTCCATATCGGAAGAACATACTTTAAATTCAAAAGTCTTTCCAAAACTCTTTTATCATTTGACAGTTTTGATAAGTTCGACAGTATAAACAACATTTCATACTATCCCCAAACGTTTCATATGGATGAATTCTACAATCCGACATTGAACCATGTATCATGAAACTCTATAAGAAGTTTTAATAAAGTTCCCGAGTACCAGATAAAAAATATATTCATACATTAGAAAAACTCCAGAAACTGTCGAAAAAGGAAATTGAATTTCATATTTAATCCGACTACATCCATTTCGAGAAGCACAAACATCGAGCTCGAATATTTCCACAAAAACTTTGGATTTTTTATGATTTATAAATTCTACAATTCCCGAAAGTCGTCCTTAACTTTCCCATCTTATATACACGTGGGATAAGATTTATGGGATTGTAAATAATGGAAGGGTGGTATGAGAGCAAATATGTGGTCTAACATGCGTATTTTTTTGGTCTCCTTACTGTGTCGTTCTAAGGAGATTATTTTTCCGGAATTCCCTAGGTATATTTTTCTCAAGGATTTTTTTGAGATGAATGATGATAGTTTGAAACAAGAGAAGTAATATGCCAAGTCGTATTCAGTCCATGTTGGAATGGTAGTTTTTTGAAACTCAGAAGTGACCAAACATTACTTATTTTCTGATTCTCAGACGCAATAATAATAAGAGCATTTAGTACTGAAAATTCATATAATTAACTAAGTACGAGTATTTTATAAAAATAATACAGGTTTTTACGTTATAATTTGGGAAATGACAATCCTATTTTTGACCACGAGTGAGCTACATAAGAAATGATTAGATCAAATATATTCGAAGGTCTATAATTGCGAATCATAAGGCAAACTGTTCCCATTGAAATCAGTACGATTCAATGAAAACTACCGCTGAGCCACGGAAACCAATTTCATCAAGTCTCGTACATCAGAGGAGCCAGTTTAACCAAATCAGTTTCTTTATCGATCAATAGACTTGCAATAGCAAGTATTTATTTTTCAATATACCTCAAACTATGCTAATGCAGTAGTTATATATTTTGAACAAGAATCCAATATATTGCTTTACTGTCGACTTCGGGACATCGGCTGCAGATGCACATCTTCAACGGCAGCAGAAAGTTGCATATCTCAATGAGGATCTAGAGATGATTTCGAATTGGGGTCGAAGTAACCAGGTTCAATTCAATGTCACGAAAACCCAGACATCCGTTTTCTCCAAATAGATAAATGTCTCCGAACTGAATATAATAATGTCAGGACAGACAATTTTGCTTTCTGCTCCGATGAGCTTGTTGGGGATTAAAATGGACATCAATATGTCTTGACACAATCATTTCGCTGGAATTGCAAAAGCTGCTTCTTAGAAGCTTGGAACATTATTCCGAATCAGAAAAAACTGTACACACCTTGGCAACTTTCGATGCTTTATAAAACTCAGACCAGACCTTCTTTATAGTATTGTTCTCATCCCCTGAGGATACCCTGAAGCTGCTGGATTCCATCTAGAAGAGAGCCTTCCGCCTAATTAGAGACTAGAGCATCACTTGCAAACTTGATATTCTGGTATTTTGAAGAAAGGTTGAAGATTTGTGTCTCTTTTATAGATACATTCACAAGAGGTGTTTAAATGACTTGGTATATTTGACTCCACCAAGAGCGGTACATATCAGAATTTCGCGATGAACTCTGGCTGCTCATCGTTTCGAGATTCAACTCAAACTTCACCGGTAAAGAACTCTTCCATTCAGAGAACTGCCTGTATATGAAATAAACTTCCTGAGAAAGTTTTTCGAAGTAAATTCAATCTTCAGCGTTTCGAATCTAACATGAATCGCTACTTCCGCACAAGTACCTCAAGGATTTTTCTATGGTGATTTTGTTCTGTCCTTAACAAAAAGACTACTCAAAGAGAATATATGAATGAAAAGATGTAAGATACAGCTCAACATGCTTCAAGGATGACCAAGAAATGATTGGAAAATGCTTGAAATAATTAAGACTAAACCACGACAACAGGCTTTTAGACGCCTTTGGGAATTTGCAAGTCGGAGATTGTGGAATGAGACCTATGAACAGCAACAACGGTTCTATTCCAATCTTCGGTTGTTTACCTCCTTGCGGAATAATGACAATGAGTAACTTAGTTGAAAGAAAATCGTTTTTGACATTCGAAGTTGATACCTTTGTTAGCGGAAAGTGTGGTGAAATACAATATTCTATTTCTGTATTTCTGGTGTATAGGAAAGATGTATATTTTAAATTTATGTATCACGAGTCAACTTGGAGTATGATGATAATTCAGTCTTGATAACTGATATGGTCAGTTTTTTCACCCAAGTTTTTCCATTTATCAGCTAACGATAAGTTTAAATCATTGACCATGTTAACATGGAATCCCTTTTGGAAATGCTTCATACTCTGTGAGTTTTCCAACAGCAACATCCTTATCTCAACTCTTAACGGCTTTTCCATCTTTCAGCAATCATTTGTTATTCGTAAAATGGGGCGCAATCTGTGAGAATTGGAAAAACTTTATGAAATACTGCGAAACGTTTCCACAACTAGGGAGAACCGTTATAGGCAATATACCTTTTTGCGGACTGTATACTTCAACAATAAAACCCAAATGAATGGGTGTATATCGGCTGCTTTCCATTAAAGATTTCTCGATCCAATTATGACGGATTTATATGCCCTTTCGAATTTGATCTTGAGAACGTATTCATGTTCGCAAAGGCTCTTGTAGATTTATTTCTGCCAAGAGTAATGAGCTAGGATTATTGCTATAAATCTTTTCAATGGAATATAAATCCCGGTCTTACAAATTCTAATGATAAAGCTATATAAACTATCACGTTGCCACCGATTTATGAACGTAGTTGCCTTGGAAATATAATTGATGTTTCAGTTCGAATTGCACCTGCTGGTAATACACATCTTCTTCAGATTGAACAAAAACCATTTACTACTAGAGCAGAAAAATACGAGAAAATGTCATTAAATGAGTAAATATTCGTTGGAGATTCAATTTTTTAATTTTTTATTACGTGTGATATTAGTTTCATTTGAGTTTTTGTTAAACTCTCAAAAGTCTGAATTCTGATGAAAGATCTAATGAAAAATATGAAAGCATTTTTATGTTATAAAACTGTCGATGTGCCTTAATTGATATTTCAAATTTTTGATTAGCTCTAATCGATAGTTTGACCTGTAGAATATAAAAAAATCTCAGTGATCTTGTACTATTATACTATCTTAATAAAAAGTTGAAATAAAACTCTATATTTTGCTCAAATTTTGTATTTCAGAATTTTATTCAAACTATTTTATGTTTTACTAATATGTAGCATTTCAAGAAACAATCTTTCAATTTTGTTATTTTCAACAGCTTAAAATTTTGTATTATGGCGTAACATGACGTGACGTTTATTGGCCGTTTATTGAGTCTTCAGGCACTTTTGTGTGAGATAATTCGTGATAAAAGATTAAGTAGTCTCATCTATGTATGAAATGATTTCAGTATGAACATGAAATACTGTATAATATAACATGGTATTTTTATTTATTACTGAAAGTAGTTTAAATCTCAGAATAGAAGAAAAAAATCATTTTGAGTTTCTTTGTGTAAATTCTGATATCTGTGATGTCTCAGAAAACTGTATTTACTCACAAGCAAAATTGCCCAAACTGTTTCAATAGATAATGGTCCAGAATATATGAAAATCGCTAATTTTAATTAAAGTAGATAGAATGAAAACATGATATTATTAATTAGCTAGGGTTGGTTGAAGAGTAGTTGAGTATATGTATAGCGAAGGTTGTTTTTTTTTCGTAATGAATATCATAGAGGAGGCTGCACAGTTTGTATTTTTGTAGGTGGCTATGACTTTCATTTATGGAATTTATTTTTCATGGCTATTATTATGATCTCAGTTTTTGTCGAAATAAAAAAAAAAATGTGTTCACAGACTATACATTTTGTACAGATATATTTTCGTTTTCTTTGGTCACTTCGTTTTTTCTAATTCCACGTTTTGAGTCTGATGGAGTTGCTCAATGATTCATGCGAATGAAATTTTTCATAACTTTCTGTGCCATTTCATTCAGAATTGTCAAAAATCATGGCACTCAAGTGCACCACAAACTTTTTCTATTGGGCAGGGCCGTTTTTTGCCTATTTCGAATGAGAGTATGTGCTTTTGCTTTGAAATTTACAAGATTGATTCAATTAGCGATTTTTGCAATGAGTATAAAAGAGAACACAAAAAATGACAGATGAAATATAACTTCTACTTCATACTACAGAAAAGTTCATTTGCATACCATTTTTAATACAACATTAATTTCCACTTCATGTTTCATTCTGTACATTCTCCATATTTTCCATATTCAGTAGTGTTGTCCCATTTCAGTATTCATTTCCAACCGTTTCATATCTTTCAAAAATCATACCATCAGTCAACAATTGATTTTTTTTGTTACAGTGTCGTTAGCATATGCTTCTCAAGGCCCTGTATTCATCAATCCCAACAACGCCGTTGCTGTAATTCAACCTACTGCTGTGAATCAAGCCAATTTCGTCACCCAAACAGTCTATGGATTCCTGGACTTTACCACCACAATTGGCAACACGGTTATGATTTTCTCGCCTCAAAGTGTTGCAGCTGCTGTTCCAGGTAGGTCAGCTGCTATAGAGTAACTCAAACGAGCCTAAGTCCTTTTTAATTGGATAGAACTGGCCGATACTTGATGAAAATCCATATAAAAATACTAATCAATACAGTTTATTGCAAAACCCTTCATATTGAAAATCATACAATAAACTGTAACAATTAGTTTTTTTTAAGTCCTTCTTTCTATGAAATTTTTATTCATTTATAATTTTTCTACACTTCAGTATTTTTATTTCCAAATTCAGTGATTTTTGTATGGTTTGAGATAAAGTGGGGCAAGTGCGCTCTGAAATTTTTGAATCACCTGTTTTCAGTTATGCAGTCTCTTCATTGCTTCATCTTGTAAATCATTAGTATTATGGTCAAAAACATTTTTCAAATCCAATGCACTAGCTCAAAACAGAAAATTAGTGAATAATATTTTTTGAACAGTTTTTGTTGCTAATTATGATTTTCAGGGGTTCTTCTTTGTGAGACTCCTGTTATAATCCTATGCTCTTACTTTGAGTTGGTGGGTTAGTGAGCTTATTATCGATCCTTGAGCATCGTGATTCGTGGCCCAGTTGACATGATTTTTATCACCTCGGTTGAAATAAAAACGGTCCGGGTATAATAGCAAGGGTCGGTGTTTGGCAGGTTTTAGTTCTGATACGCTGAGTTTGCCCGTTTCTTATTAGTCAGCGGTCACTCATCCAGAATGTCATAGAACTGTCTGGGAGAAGCGTAACAGCAGCAACAATGACACAGTGCGTCGTTGTCAGCGTGTTGCGTCCAATAGGCTGCGGTGACAGTTGTTAGTGGTTAGCATTTTTACTGGAGCATGTGCAGAAAAATAAAATCTTAAGGATCATTTTCATTTCAAATTTTTCCGAATTGGACAAAGGTTCGCTGAAATATCAACTTTCACTAAATTTAATTTTCCAGCTGACTGATGAGGCACCATGTGCAAAATCAACATTTATCACCAACTCATGTGCTCATTACTTCAATTTTCTACTTGTCTCAGCTTACCTCCGCCTCAACTCACCCGAATGTCATTTTGGTTTTTCAGTGATGTCAAAGACCGAACCATATTTTTTTTTCAGAACCGCCAAAGATTTCAACTAACGAAGTAGTATCCAACAACGTCATAGACAATAAGCCAGTAATTGTGCATAAAGAAATCCAAATAAAACCTAGTAAAACGCAGGTATCTGAGGAGAAGAAATCCTCTGAGAAAGTGTTCTCAGTCGTACAGGTTCAATCAAATCCTCCACCTGCACCATCAACTAGGATAGAAATCCAATCTTCAGCTATCACCAAAGTCAACGTCATCGAAGAAAAACCCAGTGTTGCGAAAGCCCACCCACCTCTACAGGTAGTCAGTAAAATTCAGGTAAATTCCATTTTGTATTACCTTGTGACACGGCTGCTCAGAATGAACTATTTGTTTCAAATGGGGAGTTTTTTGATATTACCAATTCACTTATGACAGAGTGTCAAAAAATACTGCTTATGCATTTCACCCTTTAAAATAAAATTCACTTCTAGTTCTTTGAAAAATACTGAAACACACCATTCAACATACATATATTTCCCATTCATTAAATGTAACACCCTACAAGTTTCGACCTCTACTGTCTGGGAAAGAACCAACGTATTGAAATCTATGAAAAGTCAATGGAATGTTGAATACTATACTATAGAATAACGCTATGATACTATAACTCTCAGATATCATTCTTTATTCACTGTCCATCTTCTGGCATGAATTCAGAGTGTACAACACTTCGGTAATTAAAAAACATTTTTAATATTACCTTCAGTCTTGATCGACTTTGAGGAGCTTTTTTTTTAGTTTCAGCTCAGTTGGAAAGCGCCATTCCGAAATTTGTTGATTGGTTTGTGAATAAAATTCGCAAATCCATGTATCATCTCCATACGTTTTATGTATTCGGGGTCGGAATTGACTTGTTTCAACATGTCTTCAGCGACCTTTTCGCGATTGAATTTTTGTAGCAAATTCAAGTTTTTTGGCACTAAATCTCTATTCAATGAGGATGCAAATGACTATTTTCTGTCGATATTCCCTTCACTTCGATGTTCAGTTCTGTTGAGGATGGCCAATCAGAGCCATGCAAATCTTCCACCACATCTCGGCTGTTTTCAATTTCACTGTACCACACATATGCACGTTTCTTTTATAAAATTTTAGCAGATAAAGAGATAAAGATTTTGAAGAGCTGAGCTCAAGTACTGCGTAAACAATGAAATGCCTTTCTGAGCCGAGTCCATATGACCTCGTTCAGGTTGAACCTTGTGCAATTGAAGCCTATGATTATTTTGACTGAACTTATAATATCCAATGAGTCTAATGAGTCTTTATGAAGCAGAAACTACGGAACTGAACGGGCAGTTTTTTAAATCGTGGTTTTCTCCATACCATCACTCTCAGCAGAGATCAACAACATTTCATCGGTCAAACTGTGTTATAGGTGGTGATACCACCGTCCGTCAAACCGACCACAAGCCAAAGCATCATAATCAGAGTGGAGGCCGTCGCTGGGATATTTTTATATCATTTCATTCAGAACAGTTCATTTCAGACCTTTATCCACCTTCAGTTCTATTGGAATTATTATTATGGTATACACAATCACTGGGAAATTTCTTAAAATGCTCGGAGGGCGCGACGTTTTTGTCAAAGTAGCGATTAACCTTAGAATTTTAATCGCTGTGAGATATATTGATTCTAACGAACTGTATCAGGAAGTTCATTCTATAAGGACGTCAGTCTCTGAATGAGAGATATCTTAAAAAGTTTGGTTCTAAGTGTGTTGAATCGAATTTCGAACCGAGCGATTTTTGCTGCGCACTACAGAACCTGCTCAGGGAACTCAGTGTTCGATGCAAATTATGCTTTTGTTGCTCAAACATTTGATGCAACACCGATCGATGGGATATATTCCATTCGTAGAAGTATAACTCTCTAGATGCATCACTAAACCTCATTAGTTTATTCGAAAGTTGAAGCTTCTGCTCTTAATTCGATGTTGTGAAATGATTGAAGTCGTTTGGTTAACCTTCAAAATTTTCAGCTATTTTATGTTCCATTTGAGGTCTCACGAATAGCTAGGAAAGAAAGACCTATCACGGAAGAGCGCTTTGCATTACCGTGACATAGATTGTTTGGAGAAAAGGGTGCCCGATATTTCCAAAATTTTGATGTGAACACTGAATGGGCTTCATACATGGGAGTCATGCATCCTTCCCGCAAGGAAACAAACACATTTAGGATGACTTCTACCTCCACGAGAGGTACCCAAATCAGCAAAGGTATTCTGTCTCATTTTGTTGCAATGAGAGCTGAGGTGTGTAGAACTCTCTGGTTCGAAATATACTTCCAAGTACCTGGGAAACTGTTTTTGCTATATCAGTAATGCAACTATGCCAAATTCAATCTTACATTTCACTAGTTCGAACTTCCATTGTCTAATATATGAAATGATTTGAAATCCCTGAAACCACTAAAAGAAGAATTGAAAATAAATAGCTGTAAATAACAATTATATCAAACAAAAAAAAACCTGAAATGAAAAAATAGTGAAATAAATTGTTGTGGAATTGGCCGCGGTGGTAGTGCGCTCGACTCACGATCGGAAGGTCGTGGGTTCGATTCCCGCCTCGACCAGATATTTTTCTCGAGATAATTTATCTGGTTGAAGCGGGGATGATTCTGCAACCGTGTTAGGAATCACACGTTTAAAGGTAAGACCTCGTTAGTCCTTAGCTCGCACAAGTCAACTAGAACTATTTTTAACGTAATATTTTACTGCACTAACTCGCCTATAGTTGGGGAAAATTGCCATTTTGAAACATTCGAGAGTGTTGCCAGGTACTAATTTCATAGGCTTACGTATAAAAATATCGTTCGATACGTTCAGAAATCGAATAATTGTTATACGGTGAGGGAATGATTTTATTTGGCGGAACGTATTTGAAATCGAATTATCTTTTTTATAAATTCGTCGTTGTAAAATGAAAGTTTTGAACAATATAGAATAACACACATCTCTCTAATTTATTTGCAATACTACATTAATAAGAAATTTTGATTTATTTCAGTTGAACAGGCATTTTAGTAATATTTTTGTACTAAGGGACAAGATGAGGAAATGACTTTCACTGTAACAAAGTGGCCATATCTTTTTTTTTTAAGTGGCAATGTTCTCTTCTTAAGCAAAATCAGTATTCGACAGCATGAATTGAATAAAAAAAAGAATTGCGTAGTTAATGCATACGATTCGGCACCAATGACTCGGGAATCAAATTTCGCAATTTGATGAGAAATACCCTTTTACTTGTATTTTATTTCACTTTTATTTCATTTCAGGTTTTTTGTTTATTATAATTGTTATTTACAGCTATTTATTTTTAATTCTTCTTTTAGTTGTTTCAGGGATTTCAAATCATTTTATATATTGGACAACGGAGGTCTGAACTAGTGAAATTCATCATGAAACATTGTCAATCACCTTCAAACAAACGTTCAATCTTACACTCAACAAATCATAATATCAGTACTTTCTTAATTATTCCAACTGGACTGACAAGACATAAAATGGGATACTGAATTCAACAGCATCTACTTGATGAGAAATCTTTTGATAACTGCTTCTTCAACAGGTCTCCATTGAACAGAAACTATGGAAATAGGACATCATTTGTTCATATTGTGGCTTCCTCACTTTCAGCGAAACATTAACGTCACTTTCAATTTCAAATTCTGTTACAGGTGGTGGAACCACCGCCCGTCAAACCGACCACGAGCCAAAGCATCATCACCAAAGTGGAGGTCATAGGCGGACCAACGAAGTTGCCTGAGCCGGTGATTTCCAGCAGGGTAGAGGTCCATAGCCAAAAGAAACTGGATTCGAACGTCATTTCCAGCGTGGTTCAGGTGAAGTCTGACGTCGAGCTTGCCGTCGAGCCCGCCGACGTCGTAGGAAACAACATTGGGGAACCGGAGTACGACTTTCTCTCGAGGCAGCCCTCAGAGGTCGTTGAGGAAACGTTCAAGGTGGTCAACTTGAGGCCGAGCTCCAAGTTCATCTTAAAGCATCGGCCATCAACTGAGGCAAAGAAAAATGTGGCTACAAAACGCGTTGGAGCGGAGCACCCCACGGGGTTGGTGACCAAGCTAGGGGGAACTGTCGTCAAAGATGGGGTTACAACAGTGATTGAGACTAGCGTGATTGGAACTTACATATCAGGTGAGCGATAATGCGACGATTGCTATATTTCGCTTTCTGTAACTAAATCGATATTTCTATGTATAAATATACCTACAACATATAACACAGTTACGAAATGTCGTTGTTACAGTTTTTCGATTGGAGTTATCATTACAGTTTTGAAATATTGTTATTCTGTTTTTGAAAACTCCTCGAAGGAATCACAAAAATTGACACCGCCGCTATCAGGATGAAATATACAATTTCAATCGCATATTCAAAAAATCATTCATAATCTCAAGGTCCGATAACTAGTGAACATGAAGACTGGGGAAAATATTTCGAATGAATGATGAGTATTTTAGAGAGGAAAATTTAGTGTACGTGACCTGTCGATATTGAAGGTGAAATGAACTGTGATTGTTCTAAATCTATCAAAAAAATAATCACGATTTATAGATTTTGAAAAAGTTCAGTCTCTTGTACGCCAGTGAGTTGAACGGAAATTATTTGTACACACAAACTTCCCATATGGTTTCTTTGTGAATTTTTCATCTGAATAATGATGATTGGTTGGTAAAATTCGTAAGTTTTCTGATTCACTCTTTGGAACCTTCGATGTTGTAATGAATATTACTAGAGTTTTTTCCCAACACCAAACCGTTATTTTAACACCTCGACACGTATTTCGATCACCAAGTGATCATCTTAAAAAGGAAGATCAAACTGGTCTTCCTCTTAAAGGTGATCACGTGGTAATCATCTTGGTGGTTTCATCTCTTGGGAAAAAACTCCAATAATATTCAAAATTCATAACAACTATAGGAAAACACGAATATCAAATTAAAGTATTCGTCCTAGCAATTAATTGAAATACTGAATTAGGTATATTTTATTCATGTAAGGCCCACTGATGTTCAGTTAAGGCATCTATAGACCTAAAGGGGCCATTTGTGTATGCAGGTGAAAGGAACATTTTTGCGTTCAGATTACCACTGTTACATTAATTTGTCAGTATCATAATTGGTACATGACAATTCTACCTCAAACTAAAAAAAATAATTCACAAAAAATTGTTTTCTACATTGTGATATGACAACAGTACCTAATGCCAACTGAAAAATATCATAAATGCAAACAAATTGATTTCAAATCCATTTACATATTCGCATATAACTTACACCAGAAGACGCAGAAGTGTAATCAAACTATATTATACTTAATAGAACATACAAATACAAATCAATCAACAGAATTTAAGAAAAAAGAGAAAAAAACACCTCAAAAGTGCTGCTTCGTTCTCTCCTGTTCATAAAAGAGGGCATATGTCTCCTCACTCATAAGCGAATTAGATGAAATTGGGCACACATTTGTATCGTTGTAATCATGCCACGTGCCACTATAAGAGTGTCTGCGATATGCTGTGTAATGGCCGTTGTAAGTTGTCCCACTGTGATTCGAAAGTGCGTATAGATTATAACGCAGAAGTAGTATTTTGGTGCAAAAATATAAAGATAAAAAATTAAGCAGGGGAATTCGAAAACTGAAGAAACAATTTCTCAAAAAATGATAAGTTCAATACAAATCATTGGAAAACACTTTGAATTATCACAATGTAGCTTTTGCATTTTCGCAAATTAGTTCTCGTGATAATGTTCAAAAGTGTTTTTGTTGCCACATACTAACAATATATGAAACCAATATTCATTGTGCTCATGATTCTGATTTTATTATGATAATTATTATCACATTTTTCTCAGAATAATCGATAGCAACTATAGTGGTGAACCTAATTTTTGTGGAATATTATTTCTGTGAAAAAATGTCGATCATTACTATTCCATTACCATATGGAATATGAAGAATTTCTATAGATGTATTGATCATGCACAAAAGTTATTTCAGTTAGGAATTTGGAATTTTGAGAATATAGGGTTAGAAAAATTCTAATTGAGTAACACGGAAATAATCTCAATCTAACTCGATTCTGACCTATATTATATTTATAGATGTTTCATTATACGTTTTCGTGATATATCGTATATAATAGGTTTGTTCTGGTTATAACATCCGAAACTGTTCAGAAACTGCGCAGGACATGATGCGTTCAAGCAAAAAATCCCAAACAGTCCAAAACTTGGTCTAACCAGAACGCATTTTGAGGAGATCACTGTGGAACCTATCGTATATATGAAGAGATGAACACGTGAAAATTCTCTTGATCATATTCATTTTGTTGTGTAGCATATCCTTGTAGTCAGTTCAAATGTTATCTAACCTCAATCATCAATTATTTAAATCAAATAATCAAAAAAATATCCTAGAAAATAGCCTAAACAAATTTCTACACGAATGCGCATGAGCAACCAGTTCCCAACAGATCACTCACGAGATCAAGAACGATTCGGGACGGTTCAAGACAGTTTATGATCATTTCAAAGTCGAAACCAGAACAGAAGATTTAATAATCTGAACTTATTCTCAATGAACCAGAACGCTCTATATCAACTGCGCATGATCCTGACGTCCTAGAACCTGAATTCGTAGAACCAGAATAAACCTAATTTTATATCCAATGAAGATGAATTAAATATCATCATTATTACGAAAATTTGAATCATCTCTTCTATTTACAATTTACTATTTCATTCAGTGAATAATTCAATCAACAATGCAGAACTCAATCGTGATTATTACTGAAGAACTGTTATTTTGTACTGAAAACTAAATCTATTTTTTATAAGTTTCTAGTAGGAATTATATTTTATCAGGTTTAGATATTTCCTAGAAATGAATCAGGATTTTGATTACAGATCATTTTTCAGTATTTGTATATTTGTTAATGTGTTCTATCTTTTCATTTGATTACCTCATGGAAGTTGAGAAATCAACTGAGAAAAAAGAACTATATCATATATTTTTTGCATTAGACGGTAGAATCCGTTTCTATAGGGTCTCCCAACAGGAACTTCAGAACTTTGGCGACTGTTGAAGCTACATCTTCCAAATTAGTTGACATTTATTTAGTCTGTTTTGCCAAATCACCAGTAACGGATATTGCATTCACCAAAAACGTGCAAGTAATAAAATTTTTCTATTAAAATGGATGTTCTGTTTAGACAATGTACCGCGCGCTTCGCCCACTTCACGGTCGCTATTATCGTTTACCGAGAGATAGTTAACGGCCAATCCTCAATTAACTATCGTCCAACACCCGTACGTCGATAAAACGCAAGATCTGCCGAAAACATTGACGCTTTCTGTGAGAGTGTGCAGGAGAATCCGAGGGCTGTCGATTTCACATCGCTTACAAAAACTATTCTTTCTACAGACCACAACTTGGCGAATTTTGCATCGTTACTTTAGGTCTACATGCCTATAAAATTCAACTGACCCAGGAACTGAAGGTAAACGACCATTGACAATAACATGTGTTCGCTGAATGGGCTCTGAAACAGTTGAAAACTAATTCTAATTTTCATCAGCGATTAGACTCATTTCTGGATGAATAGGTAAGTGAACAAACGAAATTGTTGAATTTGAAACAATACCAATCCACATGAGATTCAAAAGCATCCAATGCATCCCGAAAAAGTGACTGTTTGGTGTTGATTTTATCCTGGTGGCGTCGTCGGTGGCGTCATCGGTTCATATTTCTTTGTGGACGACATTAGCCAGGCCATCACTTTCAACGGCGAGCACTATAGGTTGACGATTTTCAACTTCTATTGGCCGGAATTGGATGGTCACCAACAACATGTGTTTCCAATAGGAGGGCGCTAAGTTTCACACAGCTCATGCCACATTGGATATTCTGTTCGACCGAATTGAGGTTATGGTCTTCTCATGTGTGGGTGATGTGTACTGGCCATCGAGATAATGCGATTTGACCTCGTTAGAATTTCTCTGGTGGAGTTTTCTCAAGTCCCAAGGGTATGCGAATAAGCCATAAACTACAGCGGTCCTCAAAGCCAACATAATCCTGATTTATGCGCCAGAGTATTGGAAAATTAGAAGTTTCGGATGCACTCTACTCAGAGAAGCCGTGGCGGGCATTTGAATGATGTTATATTTCACACATAATGGCATTAATAGGTCTTTCAAACGAATAAAAAAAAATAAATACATACAATCCTGTTATAAGCCGTAAAAACGAAAAGTCTATGTTATATTGTGGCGAAGGGGCCGGTGATCACAATTATTACTGATATGAATTGAAGGGGTTATATATATAATTCAGTGTTCATATGGAAGTATTTGTTTCGAAAGAATTTGTTTCTTTCGTGTAATTTATTGTTTATATGAAAGTAGCTGTTTCAGGAGGACTTTCTTTCAGTCTGTGTCTGAATGTTACTTCTTTGCATGATCTACACATCCATGTATAGAGTTACTTATTTTCAAATTGATTAAGTCCCTTGTTTCTTTGGAAGATTCCCTCATCTTTTTTTGTATCAAGATGGAGTAGTAGAAAGCCAAAAACTTTTTTTCCCAAAAATATCACTGATATCTTGTTCACATTCCTTCATAAGTCATTTATGATTCCTATGTAATGACAAAAGATCGATATTACATTTTGGCAGAAAACGGCTATTAGCATTATTCCTATTATCAGGGCGGGAACACTGGTACATCTTTTCATGTTGCAAAACTGGTAATTTCATGCTGAACTATTTGAACAATATATTCCAATGAAAAAATTTTGTTTCATTCTTGATTGTTCCCCAAAAATTATTTCCAGTTTGATCCCCTTCATAATAAATTCATATTTTTGAAATTCCTGTATTGTGTTTGCGATCAGTTCTAAAAAAACTGTTACAACAAATAGTTGAAGAAATTGCTACAAGACCCATGATTATTCAAATCTTTCTTTGATTTTTTTAAAATTCCAATTTGTTGGGAGTAGTCCTTTTGTGGAGATTTTTCACCTTGAACAATTTGGGAAAAATGAAAATTCTAATGGAGAAAGTTGATCAGGTGTGGAGACGGTAAACGTTTCAGTTCACCTCAATAAATGAAGTGTTTCTCACAAGAAAATCAACAATTTTTCAGTAACTTGTATTTGATGATTTGAGTTATCATAGGGATTCTGTTATATACAAACTTCACATATTTGCTCTAATACATTTTCAAGAAACAATTTCCATCTCACACATATTTTCTGATACTATCGATTCCCTATTATATTCTCTATAAAGAGTGGCAATAAAATGAACACAAACCCGCAAGAGCAAAACTTCTCATAATGGAGTGGAGCTTTTCGTGGACCCACTCCAATAATGAAATTATTCACATTGATATCCCTAGGAAATTTATGACATAATTCGAACTTCCCCGATCTCGCGAAACTTTAAATCACCGAAAACACTCAAACGTTGTCCAATTCCAGGCAAATACGCCCAAGTATTGCAGAGCACTTCAAGAAAAATCAATCCCACTCAAAGCCTGCGAATATTAAAAACGGCGGCGCCATCATTAGGGAAAGGAAATAAGCACAGGCGCGTCGAAGTCGGCACTAATGAAGAGGCCCCTGCCCCCCAGGAGGCTCAAAACTCCATAAAACCCACGCGGAAGGCAGCCGCAGGCGGTTCGGGCTCTTTCAAAAGATTCAAAAACCGACACAAAGAGCCAGACGTCAACGAGGAAGACAATGAACAGGATGTCGCCGTGACGCAGCCCAATTACAAGAAATCCCAGAAAAATAGAAGTCAATCGCAAAACTCGAGGAACTCCAAGTAAGTACGCGCTCTCCGTTCGAAGTAATCATTTTTAATTGGTTCGGCGTCGGCCTCGATGAGAATACTCTCTTTCCAGTTTGCATTAGAGAAAGTAATGAAGTTGCGACTCGAGTATCCATTTGTCGTTGCGATAGATTTATTGTTAGGGAGTTGGTTCGGAAACATATAAAAATCGAACGGAAAATTTCTTTCAAAATGAACAGTGATTCTCAAATTGAACCCTACAAATGGTTCGATACATTTTTGTTCAGAAACTAACGCAAGCTGATAAAGCCAGTTATTTATTTCTTTCTTGACCATGAAAAATTCTTTCCATATTGTACTTTTCATCGAACTCATTACTTTCAAAAAATTTGTATCTTTGTCCAGAATATTGATTCATTTCACAAGTATCTGTTTCTGAAACTCAACCAGAGATGTTAATTATAAAAATCTAATAAAGATCGAATACGTAATATCACGGTGAAAAAATTTTTGTGTGTCATTATTTGATGTATAGGCTAACTCGTTAACATTTTCATCTTTCACTATGTAATATGGATCTTAAAACTGATAAAAAACTTGTTATAATTAATTTGTTAGAAACTATTTAAAAAAATGTTGTCCCAAGTCAGATAACATACCTCAAATAAATTCAGAGCGAAACCTTTCATCAAACAGGAACATACATTATCAACTGATGCAAGTGACGTATCCTTCAATTCACAAATATAGAAGAGAATCATTGTGGATTCATAGCCCTCTAGCTCTCAAACAATTTCATTTACTATTGTTGCCAGTATGTGAATTCTCTGGCAAGCTGGTTCAAGAGGTCTAAATAAATGTAATTCATCTCAGTGCAAAGTGAAACATGCGTTACTTTATTTTTCTAAGGAAAAACAAATATTTCTGGTAACAGAAGCGAATATAAGTAGTTTGGGATATTATGAAAGTTATGAGTTCATATGTAATCTCAACTTGAACAACTTTACTGGATGATTTTTTTTTAATTTAGTATGTATGATTGATGACTTGTTTATTTTGTGAAAATTCATGATCACTTTAATGAAATGAATAAAATCACTTTTGTCTTATTTCAACTAGTTATTTAATTTTTACGATCGGTTTTGTGTTTTACCTCATTATCAAGTATAAAACTGAAATGTGGAATCCGAAAAAAGGTTTTTAGGTGAGCTAGATAAGGGTGTCAACTATAAAATTCAACACTGAAGATTATAGGGGTGGAGACCAACATGAATCAAGTTGCTCGTTTAGGGGTTGCTCGTGAAAGATATATTAGGTTAGTGTAATACAAATCCATATTCAACTAACAAAATAATAATTTTCATCTACAAAACTCAGGTATCCCTATGTACTCACCATTAAATCCTATTTTGACAGACATTTTCATGGACACACTAGAAAATACCAGCATCCTTAATAACCCCCTTTCTCAGAAACATATTGTGTTTTGGTTAAGATACGTTGATGACGTACTGGTTGGTTTTGATGGTTCAAACAGACAAATTAATCAATTTTTAAACTACCTCAATAGTCTGCATAACAAAATTAAATTCACAGTAGAAATCGAACAAACCAAGAAGCTTAACTTCTCAGATTCGAATATTTCTAAAGTCAGTAATTGTTTTCAATGTAATGTCCCTTTGAGTCTTTCAGTCTCCTCTGACATAAATTATCCGCGTTAAGGTCAATGGTCAACACAAAGCTTTCGCAATCCCTTCACCTGAAAAAAATTTCCAAGTTGAACTAAAAATAATTGAACAAATCGCAGTAAAGAATTTGGTATCAAAATGATATTACTGGAGTTTTTTCCTAACACCAAACCTTTATTTCAACACCTTGACACGTGTTTCGATCACCAAGATATTCCTCTTGAAGATGATCACTTTGTGATCGAAACACGTCTCGATGTGTTGAAATAACAGTTTGGTGTTGGAAAAAAAACTGCAGTAATATTTATTACTACACCAAAGGTTCCAAACAGTGCATCACAAATCGGGTACCGGTTTTTCTAATAGAAAAGATAATATCAAATAAAACTCATAAAACACTTATAAGTAAATTATACCCAAACAGTAGCATGTAAATATAGTAGCATCAATTACTCAGGTAAAATTTCAGGAAATATTCAAAATTACTTCTTCGAATTGGAATTTATAAGTTCAACAATCCCTATAACACTTCCAAAATACATATCATGAAATTATAAAACAACAACAAAAAATAATTACCGCTCCGGGGCGACTTCATTGATTCCAGTGGCGCATTTGCTTTTACAGCTGCAGGAAAACCCGGAAAAACCTGCAGCAACACACCCTATAATCTTCTGTATTATATTTTATGGTTGACACCCTTGTTCATTTAACTATCTCTCCTTCTAGCTCACCTATAAACTTCCGATATAATCGAATGTTAACATTCACATTCTAGTTTTACACATGATAATGAGGTTAAACTCGAAACCGGTTGTAAAAATAAAATAATTAGTGAACATTAGACGAAAGTATTTTCATTCATTTCAATAAAGTTTTTAATTTAGCTGAATGAGGATGATTTACTAGTGCATCATTTCATAATATTATTTTCCCCCTATATAATGAAAAAATGTGTTTCAATTTCGATATGTATGGTTTGAGTTTGGAATGATGTAGCCTGTTTTTGAACAGTGAATATTCTGACAAATCTACAATAAAAAACTTCTTCATTTGTATGAAATAATTTGAAGCACAGAAGTGGACGGAAATATTTGTGTCGATAATATTTGATTGCATTTAAAAATTTAAGGGTACTTTTACTCTAGCATCGATTGCTGATTTTTGATTGTTTCTAAATGATCAATGGAAGGTTTTTCAGATTCAATTTGTGTTATCTAGATTCGAAATAATGCAGGGGTGTTAACCTCTCCTGAGTATAGAGTATTTCTCTCATTGGTGAATACCCAATACTCGATAATTTTCATGACTCTTTTCAATAAGAGTGTTAAAGTTATCAAGATTGAGCCTTTCGAAGAAACCTCCGGTACAAAAATCACTTTTTCTCAAATTTATGAAAATATTGATCGTTTCAAGATGTTCAAAGTACTTTTTTGACGAAATCTGAATATGATCCAATTCCATTTTGAAAAATCTCACTTTGATATGCCACACTTCTACTGAGTACTGTGAATATTGGAGAACATTTCAAAAAGGTTGATATGAATTAAAATCAATACAAAACATTGTTTGATGAATTCACATCCTCAATCTATTTTTTTACTGATGTGAACTATAATGTTATCAAGTGTGACTAAAAAATTTGTTTGTGTTCAATACATATTTCACTTCTGTATCAATTTCTACTTTGATTTCTTTTTTAAAGAAATTGCTAGTCTGACGGCTTCAATAAAGAGATACAATTTTTTTGCTGGATCACAGATATGTCAACACTGTTATTGAGTGAACATCGAGAGAATGCCAAAGTAATGGATGGAGTTCGCAAAAATTAAAAACGATTGAACGGGATTCAGGTTAATTTGTTGAAGTTGATATGTTTTATATGCCTCACATAATAAGTAGAATTCTGAATCTGTCATGCTAAAATGTTTTAAAACGGTATATGGATGTGTTTTGATTTGATAAAAGAATGTATACTCCCAAATGTTCTGCATGTAAAAATATATCAGCATGTCATCTGGTGCAACGATCTGGAAACATGGAAATGGTGATTGAATTTTCTCTTTCCTGTTGCATGGAAATGTTTCAAAGATAGCATGATCTGCGATGTAGGATAGCCAAATAATAAATTATTGATTGAAAAATCTATCAATACAGAAGGGATTTTATAGTGGTGAAAATTGCGAATCATCAAATTCGGAATTTTGTGTTACTGTCTGAGTTCACAATGAACAGGAGTAGATATTTTTTTTCTCACATAATTCATGTAATTTCAGCAAATTTTATAAATACCGAAGAATTATATCAATAATTTTATCAAATATCGAAGAAAATATCAATAACACTCGAATAACTGCTTCATTGGCTACTAATGAAAAAACTCAACAAATCCCACTCAGTAGCAAAAATATTTGTTATTTTTAGAGGTATTGGTAACTACACTGTAACAAAAATTATTGAGAATAACAAATACTCCCCAGATTCTAATACGTCCCGAAAAATTCCTTGATATTTTATAAAACTTGCATTATTATATCTAATATTTCCTTCTGCATGTTACTCAAAAAGCATATAGTCTCTGTAGACACCATGCACTAACACATGTAAATAAATACAGACACAACACACCTTCCAATTCTCCACAAAAAAGCAAATCCCGTCGCAACCGAAACCGAAAACCTACTTCAAAACCATCTGTACACAGCGAGGAACCTGCTCCAACAGCGACATCTGGAAAGAGGTTTTCGGGGCGAAAAAACAAGCAAACCAGGGTGGCCAACGCTGACACCAGTACTAACAGCGGATTTAGCCGGAGGGGATACAAACCAAAGGTGCAGCCTTCGAATGTAGAGCAGTTCTCTCCAACGACATCCAGCTTGTACAAGTTCAAGTTAAACAGGTTTGTGTTCTATTATTTAGCTTTGTAGTTGCGATATTGCATTCCTGTTGGGTTGATAATTTGAGAAGAATCACAACATTACTGAAGAAATCCACATATTCCATTTTTTATTCCTAACTCAACTTCAGATATCTGCAGATCACTTTTTCATTACTGTGGACAACTCAATCGATGGCATAAATCTAGCAAAGACATATTTATCACCATGGAATTTCCATCAAGTCATTCTATTTACGTTTTTCTAGTGTTTGATGTCGACGTTAAGGAAATCATCTACTACAATAATCAAAATTTCAATATATTGAGGAAATTCCTATGAAACTACTGATTCAGAGTCACTTTATAGTATCTGAGCACTCAATCAACATCATGAATGTCTTCATACAAAAAGGAAAATTGAACTTAATGAAAAATCTTGAAAGTTGTTCCAGACCACAAAAAAGGCGAAAATTTTATCTCTGCTCAGAATAATATTATGATGCCTTTCTTCATGGGAATGTTCTATTATGGAACATGATAGGCCTTCGATGTGAGTGAAGCAGTTTCTGATTACGATATATCAATATTGATTCAGTTCCTTCGACATACTAACTCACAACAACATTTTCAATAACACAACTAGATAGTTAATTAGTAGCAAAAACTTCAATAAAAGTTTGTGGATTAATGACTCTAAAAATAAGAGCATCTACCGAATTTATTTCGTATATACATATAACTCCACATATGAAAATCACAAGACGAATTCGTTGGACCTTTTGTTGGTTTTCAATCAAGTACGATAAATAATAGTTTTTTTATGTATGACTGAATACATTCATTTCCTTACAGATCAATAAACGATACAAATGAATATTGTACTTCAACTTTAATGCAGAAATAACCGTACATTTGATTTTTACTCAGTACGTTGTACACGAGAAATATAACGCAAATTAAAGTACTCATGCAGTTCGCAAAAAATCATAAATTATCGACTCATAAGGCAGCTACAGCAACCAGATTATCACGCGATTCTGTAAGGAAAGTACTCAAATTACATACATTTCATCCATATAAAATGCAAATCATTCAACAACTTGGTGACGATTACCCCGACAAAAGAACTGTATTTTGTGAAATTATGACAGCTAGAATTATCGAAAAATCTCAACTCATCAGAAATATTTGCTTTAGTGACAAGTGCATTTTTCATTCAATTGCGCACTCAAATGAACAGAACTGTCATTACTGAAATGACGAGAACCCACGACTATTTGGAGAAAATGTTAATGTTTGGGCTGGTATATTATTAGATGCAATTACTGGTGCTTTATTCTAAAAAGAAAATTCAAATGGCGAAATGTATGCTCACATGCTAGAAAGATCTTTCGAAATTCTTCAGAAGGAAATTATTGTATTTTCCATTGGACAGGACACCATTTCGTCATGAAGTTCCAGTAAGGAAATGGTTAGATAACAATTATGCTAATCAGTGGATTGGAAGAAGAGATCTTATTGAATAGCATCCTAGATCTCCGAGCCTATCTCTCTTCTATCGATTTCTTTTCCTAGGGCCACCTGAAATCTTTTGTTTTTGAGACGCAGCCTGACTCGATATAGAGCGATCAAAGGAAATAATAATCCAAGAATATCGAGCTTATTAAATTAATAATAGATGACGATATTTTAATTAACAAAAATAGTGTTCCACATCAAAGACTACTTCATCGAATGAAACTTTGCAGGTTACCATTGAAGAGCCTTTTTCAAGAGCTTCTAGATGGAGTACACAAGACGCAACCTGACTCAATAGAACAAACTATTTCAATAATAATTCAGCTTGAATTGATAATAAATGATGGAATTTCAATTTAAAGAAATAGTGTTATATTTAATAAACCAAAAACTACTACCAGGGTTGCCAATAAAATGGGGCATCTCAGGAAAACTCTAAAAAGGGACAAATTTCGATCAACCTGTATATGTATAGAAGTGCATTTCTGGAAACGGAAATCACATGATTGGGCGAGGGAAATGTCAAGATTCAAAATTTGGGTATGACAGTTTTTTTCTAGTATCAGAAGAATCATAAAACACAAATCAATTAACGGATTTTGGTGAAGCTAGGGACACGTGTGAATCGTTGGATTCATTTCACGTGACACTATAAGGGTGTCTGTAATATGCTGTATAATGCCCGTTGTAAGTAGTCCCACTGTGATCCGAGAGTGCATATAGATTATAACGATAAGGAGCCACATTACCCGCTGCATCATTGCTCATATCTAATCCTTCTAAAGAAAAGTCAATGACAACATTCAATTTGCCTCTGTATGTTTCCGTTGGAGAGAATCTTTTTGAATGAATTATTGAAATATGGGGAAACTTAAGAATTAATAGGGATTTTGCAGCGTTTCTTCTTTTCTTGCACCTCGCACAGGTTGGTTTTTCATCTCCATCCAGGGTTTTCTCTTTTGTGAAAAAATCCAAGCATTGTGACAAACTCAATTGGCCAGTTCTTTGTATGGAATTAATCGTTTCCCAAACAAATATAACAGATATAATTTGTACAATACTATCAATCAGAAATAAAATAGTATCTCTTGTGGAAAATTGGAATAAACAGAATGAAATCTTTAGCATTGATTAGAAATGATGAAATGTTCGAAATAGAGAATTGTCAAAAGCTTCCTTAGTTACGAACTGACTATAGGCCTTTCCATATAGGATTTTTGTGGTCCACTATTACTTCATTGAATATGATGGAAAATCACCATCTTCCGTCTAATAAACAAGATAAAAGAAAAGTTTCTACATATTTTCGAAACTAACGAATGCTTTTTCGCCTTATACAACAAAAAATATACAAAAATGATGGACAAAAGTTAGATTCAAGTACCCACAAGTTTTTGAATTCCAATATAAATAAGTAAACTAACAAATATGTCTCTACGAGTATTTACTAGCACCGTTGGAAAATGATATTTGGAAAAAACTTTCACAACATGGTACTGAAGAGTGGCTCTTGAATAATTTCATGTATTCTGATGACACAAAACTATAAACTGAATTTTATTAAATTTCCACATATCACATTCACACTATTTTAACCATTTCAGCCACACCTATCAAACATATTTCAACCTAGTCATTCAACCTGAAAAAATGAAAATATACCGTGTAAAAGTTGGTAACATATGCAAATAAATACGTTTATTCCAGCAGTTATTTCTGTTTATTTTTTTATCATCGTGTCTATATGAATAAATAAACCAACGAGAAAGTTTTTGTTTTGGATTATTGAAAAACTAGGTGTTCCCACTGTTAATTATTCGATTATATGCTCGACTGAATACTGAATATTCAATATTTTGTTTATTTATTCCATTATTACATTCAATAACACTGTAGCAAAGGACTTGATGTTCACAAACATGGTATTGGAAAGGGGATTCTTTCAGTAAATATATGCTTGTTGGCTTTCTGTAGCTCCAATAACATCCATAGCGTGTGAATTTGAATACAGGAAAAAATAAACTGAGTACATCTATGAGAATTCATAACGAGTTAACTTTGGAGGTTTGTTTTGGACTGTGAAATAAAAAATTCACAAGAGACATTCGCCTCCGAATATGAACATTCAGTTTGTGTACTGAACATTCATGAAAAATTTGAAACACATACACACAGTAAATCGGATTGTTATACATTGTAATGATGAAATTCACCTACCTACAAAGTACGATATTATATTATAATCAATGATAACGATAATCAGTAAATAGGTAGGTATAAAATTCATTTTTTTCTGTCAATAATTCTTCATTTTGAGAAGGGATATTTCAATTCGTTTCAGTCGTTAAATCAGTACGCTTCAAAAAAAGATGACCTCAAATTTAGTTTCATGTTATTGTTAAATTATATTCTTATATTCATTCATTTTTGTAAAGCTCTCTCTATCAGAGAGATTCCATTGTGAGATTGACTAATTCGGTCTTCAATTATGCCATAATTCAGTTTCACCATTTCAAGATAGCCATGAACAAAAATAACACGCATTCCAGATACGATCCCACATTCTCCAAAACAATGGAACATCACAAGAAACTTTGACTTTATCTGATAGCATTTCACCCCGGAGCGCTACAGCCTCCAATAAATTACTCTCCAGGAAATGTAATATCTTGGTCGCAAAATACTCCCTCACAACCGCCTCAGCTGAAACTCGTTAAATATTCTTGCTCTATCTTGCTTTCAGATCTCCCGGAAGATGGCAGTACAAGACAACGTCGAAGCCGCGCGTTGCTATTCGCAAACAAAACAACATCGACGAGCCATTGAACAACAACGAAACGCTCGGAACTACTTCTTCCTCTTCTTCGTCTTCTCTGCAGGAGCCTCTAATCAATGACGTCGTTACGCCGCAAGCTAGATCCGACGACGGCGATAGTCTAGAAGGCTCTGAATCAATTGCCTCAATTATCGACGATGAGAGTTCGAAGGAAAATAAACTCGATGCCCCCGCTTTTCCAGTCGAGACCATTAAAGTAGAAATTTCCACTCCTCCGGATTTCGGCGACATTTATTATGAGATTGCCACAATCAAGTCGCCCTACACTTTCCAGGTAATGTGATAGTGTTGTAAGGGTTGGAGCAACATTAATAATAGAGGGTAGTTTCGAGGTGCTAAGATAGAAATGTTATAATATTGATTTGATAATTGGAATGGGTCAATTCTGGTTGGAATGTTATTTAATTCACCATAATAATGGGTCAGATAATTTATGAGATACAAGGAATTTGGTGAAAAACAAAATATATGAACAATGTACGTGAATTTCCGATATATTTGAAATCAATTCAAAATATTTCAATTAAATATTAATTTTGAATAAACAGAAATTCGATTCCAATTTTGATATAGTTATTTCAACATGTTCATGATACAATATAAAATTGAGAGTAAAATTGATTGATGTAATGTAGTAGAATCTTTGAAAAGATGAGCTATGCTCTATTTGTTGCGGGATTTTTTATTCATATTCTGAAAAAGTCTTGACAGATTTGAAATCTAAAGAAAGGGGAATTATTGGATTATGAATTTTGAGGACCAAAATATTAAAGTCAGCTAGTAGAATAAAATGAATATAATGAAAATTTGAACAATGGAATTTTGTTATTTGTGAGAGTTCAAATAAGTTAGAGAATGTATCAATAATAATAATGGGTTTTATTGATGATTCCATACAATTACTACAAATCAAATGGAAAGATTCAATATCTACTCATGATAAATCATCGCAGAGATTACTCTCTCATTCAACCTCAAGAAAAACAGAAAAATTAAAAAAAAACATTTTTTTTATCGGAAACAGTACAAACAGTATATACATATACAGCAAAACAAAAAAAAATATCTCAGACTAATGAAGACTAATAATTATAGAGAACTGTTTTTTGATGCTTGAAGAAAGGTTGATTGATTTCGACATAATTCGATTAGTTGGATCTCTTTATTGTAAGAAGATATTTTTCCATCTTTCGTTTAAGTTTCCTATTGGAAAAGGTTTATATTCTATAGGTATCCAATTATATAGTGAGTGGAAGATCTGCGAAATAGAGAGGTTTTATGTTGTGATATTGTTGAATGTGTCCTGAATCTCAAGTTAAGATGGTGTTTGTCAGTTTTGAAGGATATTTTTTGGGAAGATACAATGAATATTAAATTAATCATATTTGAAGTACAACAAAAAAATTAGGATGAATGATGAAAAATTTCCAAAAGTAACTGCTTGCTGATCTCAAAACTCTTGGTGAATTGAATACTTTTTCTTTGGAGAATTTTGTGGAATGTATCACGCTGTTAAGATATTAGGGTATTGGGGTATCTAGATCTGTCTCCATAGTTCCATACTACTTCTGAAGTATCTCAGCCGGACCGATATCTCTCGTTGGTTTCTCCATAATAGCCAGTATTTTAACCATTCCATCCATATCTTCGTTTTAACCGGTTATCCAATTGACAGTTTTTCATTCTGAGTAAAGAAGCTATGAATCACGGATGATCATTGAAGTGAACCTACAATTCTTTCATTTGGCAACCTAGTTCTCATTCAAAGATATCCAACTCCAAAGAGCTTCTCCTACCACTGAAACAAACTCACTATGTTAAAATTGAATGACTGTACTTGTTCAGTGACTCCAAATCAAAACAAATTAAATCAAATCAGTTTATTTCCAGAGACTCTACAGCATGGAAAAATTCAAATAAACTAAAATATAGAAATTCACTTCAGTTTCGTTTCTTTCAGTTGGGTTAGGTCAAAATTGAGTGGGTCTGTTCGACCCTCCTACAGTTATCTGAAGGAAATCTTTCTGTTTCATACTAAGCGGTCAGTTAATTATTGGAAGCAGAAATCTGAAAAAGCTTTGGATAGCAAAATATCTGGAACAGTTGGTCATTACAAATTCTCAAGAATATCGGTCTTGAAAATTTGTGGTGCGATGGTTCCATATCTGGAAAGAAAACTTGATAATCTTCAAAGTCTTTCCCACCACCAAGGTCTCATCAGTGGTGCTACGCTAAACCTCCCAATTGTCCTGAAATAATGACATCCACCCCTATGAAAACGTCATCTACGGGATTGACAAAATACTCGATCCTAGGAAATCAAAGATAAGCGAGGCTTCCCAAAGGGCTCAGTTGCAAAGTCAAGTTTTGACATCAACTGTCGTTAGCTGCAGAGCTTATCATCACTTTTGAGTCGTTGAAGGGTTGTAATAGAGACACCTGATATTAGATTATAAGTTCATCTAGTTGTTTTGCATGGAAAGCTGCAGTGAAAGACAGCAGACAAATCTCGTTTGCCAGTCTGTGTCAAAGCTTGGCTTTGCCACTGACCGCCTTGGGGAGCTTCGTTTATCTTCAATTTTCAAAAAATGAGTCTTCCGTCGATCCTATAGATGGCGTCTTCGTAGGAAGAGATGCCATTATCTTCACAGGAGAAACTCAGAAAAATGAAATTTGTTGATTGAATTTTTGTTCAATTCAGGTACGCGGCTCGTAAAATTTATATTTGTCTCCAATCATTGTTCAAGTTGAAACTAAAGAGTAATCATTTCTGTTCTTCTGGATAATGTAAACCCATCAAAAATATCTAAAATAACAGCGAAGTCATATAACTCGGACTAATATCAATCTTTCCGTAAAAATGTCATTTCGATACAAAACTAATGGGGCCCTCTTTCGCGACATAATCGGGCTACGGCACTTAACGACCCGCCTGTGGCTATTTATGTAACGTGATCCGACATCACATCAAAAACCGTTCACGCTTGGGATACAAATGAGTTAGATAAACATGCAAATTGGTGAATTATAGGCGAGAGCGGAAAAGAAATTGTTATTGTATGGAATTAGAAGGATCGATAGTCGTCGACCTATCTAGGGGAGCATTTATTCGCTATATTACTTTCTGGGTAGTTGACTGAAGGACAAGATATTGGAAAATGAAAGGTACTGAATATACAGTGTCATCCCCAAAGTATACACCATATGGGAAACTTATTTATTAAGGAATTTTCGACAAAATTTTATTCTTGATAAATGTTTGTTTATCTCTTAAAACTAATCATCCACCAACAAAATACAGTAAAATATACAGTGTCATCCCCAAAGTATACACCATATGGGAAACTTATTTATTAAGGAATTTTCGACAAAATGTTATTACTGATAAAACTTGGTGTATCCTATAAAATCAAACATACACCAACGAAATACAGTGAAACACACGTGATATACGAGGAGCCTTCAAATATTTCATTTTGAGACAGGAGTAAAGTACTCTTATTTTGAAAAATTTTGGGAAATGTTATTTGAGAAAGTTGTTCAGCATTGAAAAATACAGCTAGATTTGAAGTCATGACTGAGTGGAGTTGTATTTTTCAACCCATTTTTTTAAATGGGAACTAGGAAAAAAATTTTGCTAAAACGACCGTGGTTAACACCATAGCTGTGGTATTTGTAATATTGAAAGTTTCAAAAATAAACCGTCGCATAGAGCATGCTGTCTATTTATCGTTTTAGCAAATTTTTTTTCGTAGTCCCTATTAAAAAAATGGATGAAAAATAAAACTTCAATTCAAATATTTTTTAATGCTGAACAACTTTTTAAATAACATTCCCGAGATTTTTCAAAATAAGAGTATTTTACTAATGTCTCAAAATCAAATATTTGAAGGCTCCTTGTATATTACGAGTGTTTTACTGTATTTATTTTGTTGGTGCATGTTTAGTTTTAGGGGTTTATCAAGTATAACTTTTTGTCGAAAAACCCTTAATGAATAAGTTTCCCATATGATGCTTACTTTGGGGATGACACTGTATAAAATGAGCTCCGAAGACTGTGAGAGCAAATATATCGGCCACACACAAGGATGTTTTAAACCTTAGCCACAGAATAAATCGGCATCCATCGGTTGGATGCTTTCGATAGTCTGTGACATGAGAATTATAAAAAGTGGCGTGACAAAAAGTCCCATCTCAAACAGCTCATTGTTAACTTTTATATGAATCATCTTATTGAAATGGGAACTTAACGAGTGAATTTTTATGAATCATTGATGTGTGCTTGAAATTCGAAAGGTACTATTTTGTTTGATTTGAATACAGACCAAATTCAAAGTTAGAAATCAGTTTGTCTTATCTAATGGGTACGACAACTTGGTTGTTCAAATTCGCGTCAAGAATAGTGTTGCATTTCTGGTGTGTGGGAACATAGCTATCAGTTCTACCTTCCATTACTTCATCAACTGCTCACGTAGTATACACTGCACTCCAATTGCAACGGGCCACCCTGAAAAATTCATTTGATATGGACTGGAAAATATTCATGAAACACGGTAATTTTAGTTTCCTGAGTTATGAAACTCAGTAATTTGTCAGTCACCCCCTTCTCATAACAACCCACATCTCAAAAGTTTGAAATATTTATAATAGTCGAGCTTCTTTGGAGGATCTTATCCGAGTCTGTAATATTTTTAACTAGAAAGTGTTTCAGTAGAAAGTGAAACAAAACAGATAAAAAATCAACAACTTATCGAACTGAGCACCATCAACTTGCTTGCATACAATGGTATAAAATATATTCTGTTTTTCTTTATATTCGAAAGAATATCAGGTGCTAGAGAAGCCTATAGTACCTGTTGATTTCTCTCCGTGAATTATCTATAGTAGTTGGCTATAGGTTTGAGTAACCACTCTGAAGATACCTTCTTTCCGACACAACAGCCCGGAAAGTTATTATCGCAGTTACTGTCGCAGTAGTACCATGCAAAGGAAAACAGCATCGTCTTGTTGAAAGCGTATCCAGTTTCACAATGGGGGATCTAATTTGTTGGCGTTGTTGGCGTAACTTGTTTATTCAATGAATTGAGATATTTTTCACCACTTGGATTTGCCCTCGAGAAGAATGGTCCTACTTCTGACCTTCTGATACTTCTGATAAAAGGTACATTTATCCAAGGAAAATGTGAAATAGAACAAAGATTAATTACGGTTGACGCGTTTCTAGAGGATGTTATGAAATTCAACTCTTCTGTCGAGATCGTCAATTTAATTCATGAACCATTTTCATTTCGTAACAGTGGAATTTGGTTCGATAAAGAATTCTGAGAACGTTTGTAGGATTTCTAATGCTTGGGACAACTAAGTCAAAGACTGCGAATTCTCCATCAAGACAACGTAATTTTGAACTACAATGATAATGTCTTTGTTGTAGACTATACCTGAGCAGTTATGTTGTTTGTTATTCCATGAATTCCAGCATATTTCATGTTCTTCTCCGGACGATTCTCATTGGAAACATGAGCAGTGACCAGTTGTTCACGGTACTAACCCACTATTCTAATCCACCCTTGGATAATTTCTGAAACTTTCAGTTGGAGTTAACATATGTATTTCATAAACATGTGATGTTTCTTGGGAATGAAGTATCACTTTCAGTATTAATCGTAGAAATAAAGATAATAAACGGAATGATAACTCGAGTTCCGACAGGGCAAAAATGAAAACTCAAATTGTAAAACTTACCTGAGAGTCACTTTTGCGGAATAATTCTGCATCGACAACTTCAACAGTAACAAGGTGATGAAATTTAGGACAATATTGGTTACTGGAATATGTTCTCACTGAGTGTTTTCATTATTTTCAGTAATGCAGCAATAATTAATGCTCAGTATGAAAATTTCATCTCTCTAATGAGATATCACTCTACTATTTTTTATTTGAATTGACATGAGGATTGTTGTGAGAAAGGTTTGGCTGACAAGTACTTGATCTTTGCATGGAAATGTTTCACTCTGGAAATCATAGTTGACATGTTAACCTTTTTTATAGTCCTTATATAAACTGATCCAATCTGTGTGTCTTTTTTTAAGTTTAATGTATTGTATATGCGATTTCATTTATTGAAGTATTCAATATTCTATTGGATTTCATATAGATAAACCTACCGTATTTATGGAAGAAATATCAATAATAAACTTATCTATGATAATAATCATCAAATTTCCACAATAAATTTTATTTGAGTCGCGTTTCTCTACACGGCAGCTTGATCAGTTGGACTGCTACATCAAACTATTGTACAATGTCTTTTGTATAAAGGAATAACTTGATTGCATGAATATTCAAATCTGGTGAGAAGGTAAATTTCGAAAAAAAAACAATTACAATACAATATGACTTTCAGACAAACAAGTACTTTGTGAATATATTAATGAACACCATTTTATGCAGACAAGTTTAATAATGTTTAATACCTTCTTGGTAGTCGTTAAACAGAAATTGCCTTCAATAATTTCTAGAGATTACAGGACAGGAATTGAACCCGCTGGAATCTCTGAAAATTAATGAACGCAACTATGCAAATTTTTTTTTAACAACCAACAAGATTTTTTTTTACCATTTTCAGAATTGGTTTCGCAAATTGTCATAATTCAGTTCTAACATGAAATACTAATATATTAACTGTTTTTTCCGGATTGATAATAACAGTAATAATAATATTTATTTGCAAAATAAAATAAACTCTTACAAAACAATGTCACACATGTAAAAAACAAATAAACAGAAAAATCACAGAAGCAGTTCAAACTGCTTGTATGTGATATAATGACACTTCCAGGTAGAGCCATATTTGGGTTTTTTGATATATTACATGAATAGTAAATTTCATACTTCGGTAAATAACATAATCAGGAGGTAAATGACAATCAGGAGGTATCTTTTTTTTCCAAATACTCAGATAGAATTTATCATATTACTAAAAATATTATGTCCCGCCTTGAAAATCTATTCACTTAATGAATTTCTGAATTTTCAAAATTTTTCAATATTCTGAATCTCATGAGGTATTTGCTTATATATTCTTGGTGCCAGGTAATTGACACTTCCAATCGTTTTGTCAGGTCGAGGTAAAAATATAGAATCATTCTTTCGTGTATTATGAGCATGTTCATAAACTTGTAATATGATTTTTTTATTTAAATGATTAATAATATTTTCATGCAAAAAAATTATCTATTGCCATGATTTGAGTTTCTCTATATGACAGATCACTGCCATAGTCACGTGTCTTGGCAAATATTAGTTCAAGAATCCATTTTTTAACCACATTTACATTTTCTGTAAAACAATCACTAACACCCCTCCCCCCCCATCCTAAAATTCCATCTATAAGAAGTGATTGTACTAGCGCGAAATAATTCATTTTTGAATGTGATTATCTTCAAAGAGGAAGATTAAAACTAAGAACTAGTGCAAGCTAATCCTATTTATGCTATAAAGGTAACCCATACAGGTAAACCATCCAGGCGTACCAACCATACAGGTATACCAACCTAAATTAATTTTACAATTTTGTCTTATCTATTATTTAACAATATATGTTTATATTAAACAATTTTCCGCTATATAAAATTATTTTCACAATATTGCCTATCCAAATTTATTTTTACAATGTGTCCTTATGTAGTAATCAGTAAACCCAACAACATTATTTTATTTTATTTTATTTTAACAAGCTATATAGTATGCTCTTTTGTATAGGTCCGTCATCGTTTTTCATAATATCATTGTGTTTACTTATTTCTACACTCTCATATGCATCTAGTTGCCTGTTCTTGTTAACTTGTCTAACTAATCTTAATGAACTGAAGTCTATGGAATAGTTTTGTTGCAAAATATGATGGGCGACTGCTGATTTTTCAGGTCTTCCATATTTTGAGTATACTATGTGTCCCTTATATCTCATTTAAATGGATCTTTTTGTCTGTCCATAATATTTTGCATCGCAGTCCTTACATCAATTTCGTATATTCCAGACTTTTTCGAATTCTCGACTTTGTCTTTTGGACTTCCCAAAAAGCTCTGTAGTATATGACTTGTTTTAAAAACCACCGTCATACCTAGTTCCTTGAAAATCTTTCCAAAGTTCCTCGTATATTGGTGGTATGGAACTGAGATGTATTTATCTTGGTTTTTGTCCTTTCTGAAAGTCGAGATTTCGTTCATTCTCAACCTAAACTTCTTTTTCCTTATTATGTCATCTACAATACTCCTCGAGAAACCGTTAGTGGCTGCTATTTCCTGTATTGTACGTCTTTCTTTTGTGAACCTATCATGTGTTGTTAAATATATCGTATGGTAACCCTCCATATTGGCTCCTCATCACCAAAACGTCAAGAAATGGTAGATGTCCCTTATTTTCTAACTCATACGTGAATTTTATTGATGGACATCTATTATTTAAAATGGAAACAAAGACGTCAATATTCGATTTCTTGGTATCGAATATCGCGAAAATATCATCCACATACCTTAGCCAAATCCTAGGAAAATACTTCGACTTTTCTTTGGTTTCCATTTCGAATCTGCTCATGAACAGGTCTGCCAGGTAGAGGGACAAGGGGTTTCCCATGGCCGTTTCTTCCTGTTGTTCATAAAAGCATCCTTCTACCTGGAACCGATTTTGTTTCATACTGAGATACGGAGATATCTTAATTTCTGAAGAAACCCTCCTAATTTTTTGAGTGTTGCATATGTGAATCCCACTTCATATGTCGATATATCGTGACAACAAAGTATTTCACCGGTGTTGCTGTAGGAATTTGTTTGTTCAAGCCTACCATTCATCTAATTGAATTTCGTAATTACCTACTCTTATATAAAAGAAGAAGAGTTTGCTATACTGAAAAAAGCTACCGTGTAGTGAAACGCGTTTTAAATAACGTTTATAGTGAAAATTCTATAATTATTATCAGAGAAAGTGTTATAAATTTTCATCACGTAACGAGTAAGTGTAATCATAATATTAGATATCATTAGTGAAATAATTAAAAAAGAATATGTTAAACGGTTTTTTTTACAAAAATAATAATGATGTGAATGATGTACTGCAAAATAATTAGGAAGGTCCTAGGTATCAGTTACCCACCTCAGCAATCTACAGTATTGATCAAATGGAAAAATACTGAAATTGATGGGCCTAGCGTAACCTGAGTAAATATGTCAATAGTTTTCAGTTTCTAGTTTTGTTACTCAATTCTTCTCATTCTGTTTAGTGCTTCGATATCACAAGGCGATGTGTAATCCGCCATAGCTACGGCTGTCTTGAATTTGTGTCTCTTCCAAAGTGTACTACTATTCAACTACTCAAGCCCTGTAGTTGTGAGGTAGTTGTGAAGAAATATGTAATCCGCCTGTTTGAAGCTGCGGCCATCTGGGATTCACAATGATATAGAAATAATTAAATTGTATTGTCATCAAATCTAAATGTGTGTATTAAATTTCAGATCAATTTGTCAACAGGGGTCAAACTTCAAATACTAAATTTGACCCAAACAAATGAATAAAAAAACAAACGAACAAGCTGGATAAAACCGTTCAATTCTCACTATTCTTTCCAGGTTGGCAGTGTGAGGAACACCCGTTACGTGACGGTAACGTCAACGTTTGAGAAAAGTCTGGAATCGTCCCCGGATCCCACCTTGACTAAGGCAGCGGAGCCCTTAACGGAAAATATCCTGGCGACGTCGAGCAATTACGCGAAGGACAACAACTTCTTGGATTCTAGCGTCGCGACGCTGCCGCCGCTGTATCTAGCTTCGGACATGGAAACGCCGCCTCTCGAGACGCTTACGGAGACATTCAGCACGACGCAGACGATGTTGAAGACGCACATTCTGCCTGTCGTTCGACACGGTAACGATACAACCAGTTCAACATTGGTGCAGACATATTTGGTGACGAGGTGAGTATGCTTCAGGAGCGGAGGCAAAGGGGTTTGGGTTGCCGGTGAAAAACTTACAAATAGATTGGGAAATGCATTTCTATTTGTATATATGCCTTTTTTCCTGTACATTTCAATTATAACTGTTACTTCGTATTGGTAATTGAAAATTATATGCCACCCCCATGGTGGCGAAAGTGTAAAACACACATGTCTACATTGAATCCCTGTTTTGGAATTGTTCGAATTTTCTCATTGGATTTTTCCTTGATGAATACTTAAGTATCTTAAAGAAGATGCCCACAAGGAGGCGTACTATCGCCATTGCTATGGGCAATCCTAGCAGACGATATCCTCAAAAAGCTATCTGAAGAAGGCATATAGTGCCTGGGATATGCTGACGATTAGGTGATAGTCACAAAAAGGAAATTTACAGGCGTCATCTCGGAGCGCATGAAAAAAGCCTTGAACATCGTCGGCAGATGGTGCAAGCATGAGAACCTCTCAGTTAATGCACAAAAAAGCACTGCGAGTGATGCGAGGAATTGAACCACCAATACTCAATGAAGTGGAGATCGCTTTCGCCACGAAAGTCGAATACTTAAGTGTGACTTTCGATCACAGGCTCACGTAGAACCTAAACATCCATGAAACAGCACACAAGGCCGGGATGGCCCTGAGAATCTGCAGAAGAATGTGCGGGAAAAACTGGGGGCTGAACCCAAATATGACACTCTGGTTATATAAATGGCTAGTGAGACCTATGATAACATACGGTGAATTGACTTGGTGGTCAAGAACAAAAGCAATCGGGTACGGCTAGGCTATTAGGCGGCACGAAAAGGCTGCCGTGCATAAGTGGCGCGGGAGCCATGAGAACGACCCCAACTACAGCATTTAAAGTTCTGCTCGAACTTCCACCATTGCATATCTACATACAAAGAGGGGCTCGACTGGTGACAGGCTGATGCAGAGGACAACCACCCTAATCAGCCAGTGACACGGTGCAGAATACTCGAAACTGTACAATGAACTGAAGGCAGATCCAATACTAGGAATACCCGTGGATAACACAATTCCGTAGTACAACTTTCAAAAAGATTTCAAAATCATCATACCAAGTAGAGAAGACTAGCAAAACGGCCCACCGGTAAAAGAGGAAGAAACTTGATATACAGATGGTTCAAAGACCTCAGAAGCAGTGGAAGACAGTACATACGGAGGTAGAGCAAAGACAAGAATCGCACTCAGCCTCGGACATCATGCAACTGTGTTCCAGGCAGAAGTAATGGCCATCGAATACTGTATAGGGGAAATGAACAGGCAGAACAGGCACAAATGAAACCATTATCATTTTCTCCGACAGCCAGGCGGCAATTAATGTGCGCAGCTCGTTTCAAGTCTTCTCAAGACTTGTGAGAAGCTGTCTGAGCGCACTAAAGGACAAAGTACCCAAAATAGTGTCACTGTAGCTTGGGTACCCGGACATGAGAATTACAAGGGCGATGAGGAGGCCGATGTTCTAGCCCCTGAAGACGCCCCCAAGGCTATGATCGGCCCAGAACCTTTCTGAAGGGTAGCAAAAGCAACTATAAAGACATCCATAAACTCATGGATACAAGCCGAATCGATAGATTGGTGGAATAAGCTCCCAGGAATGAGGCAGACGAAAGAGTTCATAAAGAAATCATCACCCAGATTCACGGAAGACATGCTAAACCACAACCGTAAGGTTGTACGGGTAGTGGTGAGTCTACTAACAGGGCATAGCCGACTCAGGAACCATATGAGCAACACGGGTCTCACAGAATAAATCCAATGCAGGTTCCGTCAAGAAGAGGAAGAAACCGCACTGCATGTGTTTTTTGAATGCACATCGATAGCAAGGCTGAGACACGCAAGATGCGGGGAAGAGAAACCAGAGGCTGCCAGCTATATGAAGGGTTCAGTGTCAATGCTATGGAGTCTCATAGCATTGACACTTGCTCATTATGTCAGAATTTGGTTATATTATACCAAAATCACTTCTTTTTTGACGATTGATTGATGAAGTTTCAAGTGAGTAAGGAGTGTTGCAGATTTGTGTAGGGTAAAACGTGTTGGTTGTAGCTTTTTCGATCATATAAAATGGCTGAAATAGTGGAAAAATTTATCAAATTTCCACCATATCTATTCAAAACCACATCATACATTCCGACATCAATCCACACAACAACTTCAAGTTGACTTCTTCGTATTGCAGGACGTAGAGTATTTATAGTTTCAACCTGATTCTGAATCGCATATATTCAAATAAAAAAAAGTGATAATCCACGAAATAGCTACAAATTTACCAGAAGAATCAATATAAAAGCAGCATAAATGAATACTTATTGATAACTACTGAGATGAACACTGGATTTTTCTCTAATTTACAACATCGACACCAGGGGCAGTATCGCTCATTTTGAATCCCCTATATCTATCTCTCAGAAATGCGTTATCTATCGGAATGGTACAAGATAAATTGAAGTGAATAGATATTTGAGAAATAATTTTTGTTCAGTTCCGAATTGGTTGGATTCAAAAACAATTGTATTCATTCATAAAAATACTCTGAAACCACTTGTACACATTATAAACTCGACCTTTACCAATTGTCTACTTTATTCTCGATGGAAACAGTCCATAATCATCCTAGTCCACACATCACTAGATAGAAGATAGAAACTATAGATCGGTCTTTGTGATGATAAAATCTACTTGTTCACGTAAAAATCAAGGTCTCAAAACTATCACATACATAACATCCCATCACTACCTGATCATCAGTAATACTGAATATAATGTTGTCGTAGTTGTGTTGAAAAATAATAGCAATGCTGTACTGCATCACCCTGTTATAAATATAGATGCTAACTGCCTCAAAATTGTTGAGGAAGTTTTTACAGATGTCAATATAAGATTTGTGAACCATATCACCACAATTTTAGAACTTGCATATTTCATTTCGACAACTCCATATTCATTGTCTTTCATCGGTCTATCCAAAAAGCTGCGAGTTGCTGCTTGCGACTCGTTTACAGTTAATTTCATCAGTTGTGAACATTCAAGACGTTCATTATTATCTTTATATGATTTCATGAAATGTTTTAAAAAAAGTATGAAGACACTGATTGCATTTCTCAATGAACATACTATAATCACTGAGGGACAATTTCGTTTTCTATGAAAATATATTTTTTTTGTTTTTGTCTCAACTTCATACTATTCTTCATCAGAATTCATCCCAAGTGTAAAAAGATACGCTCCTCTCAGACATCTTAACTGCAACTGTTGTATCAATTGTTTCTATTAGGTAATTTTTTTAGTAATCTAAAAATTAATTATCCACATTCAGAATATTAATATCAAATAGAAGTGACTATTTTTTAGGTACTACAATTAACTATTCGTTAGTATTTCATCATCCAAAGGTTTGTAGAAGTTAAATACATTGTGTTACTTCAATATGATATGGATAATTTCAGTTAAAATTCCAGCTTGATATTATTTGTTTCAGTTATGTTGCTTTTGAGTTCTGTTTTCATTTTTTTCATTTTTCAGGATGGAATAATAACAGATATGATTCTTCCACATCATTTTCATTCAATAAATATCTATACTTTTTATTATTCATAGAAATCAAAAGGAATTGCCAATTGAAGGTGATTGACAATGTTTTAAGATGAATTTCATTATGTCGGACTTCCATTGACTGATATTATATGAAATGATTCGAAATCCCTGTTGTCTGACAACGTATTCAGCCAAGCTAGCGTAGAGATACGCAACATAAAGACGATTCCTAAAATTTTTGAAAATGATATCATCAGATTGAAAATATTTGTGCCTATGTTTGCCTCATTCAACAGTTGAAGTTCTTTCACTTTTTATATTTTTACAGGCTGGTAACTGCCACCAAAACCTTACCTCCGATGGAAGCCTACCACTTCAACCCCAGTCGAACTCTCAATGAATTCAACAGTCATCTCGATGAAGCAGGTTCAGAGCTCCATTTGGAACTTGAATTCGGAGACCAAAACGATCAAGATGACGGCCAACTTCGGAAATTATCTCTCCCCGCAGACTTAGACCTTGCCAACATCGGATCCAACTTTGACCTATCCGACGTCGAAAAGTCGAAGCTAATGGAAGGCCACCTCCGCCCGAAAAAGGCGCAATCCCCACTCAAATCGATGAATGACTTTTCCAACCAAGCATTCAATCAGGATCAACTGCAGCAACTCGCCCTGTACAGGTTTTTGAATCCCGGTGCAGCTCAAGCACAGGTAGTCACCACATCCAAGCCGGTACTCAAAGTCGAAACGGTATATGAAACTTTTGTTTTGCCTGTTACGCAAGGCCATAACACCATTCAGAGCACGATATCGAAACTGAAGGGCACCTTCACCAAAACTGAGTTTGAGTTCGGTACCAGCACCATCGCACCTGCCTTACAATTGCCTCCGATACCTCAGCAGCTTCCTCAGATTCCTCAACTGCCTCCTCAGATACCGCAGCTCCCACAGCTGAATCCGTTCTTACCTCAGCCGCAGCCTCAGTTTGCAGTGACCTCCTCGCCTGTGGTGCAGTCGACCATGGTCACCCAGACCAACAGCAAAATCCTAAAGCTGACTTTTGGAGCCAAAACGGCGCATACCACCGTGTACAGCACAGTGGTGGTACCAACGGTAACGACGTCATACGTGACAGCGTCTATTCCCGTGCCTCCAAGTGCGGCGTATCCAGGGTTCTTCCCGGCGCCCTACCCCGGATATCCTTATGTCGGGTAAATTATTAGTGACTGTGGTGTGATTTAGTGAGTGTGAATTAGGAGATCATCGAATCAGCCTATTTGTCATCTTTGGGTTCAGTGTTCATCATTGTTTCCTCCTAGTTTTGCGTTTTTCTAGCTGGTGATAGAAGTGGTATATCCACTAACCCCATCTTTTGAATTCCTGACACCAAATTGTTAGAAATGAATTATTCGTTACCTGAACATTTTTCTTTTCTCATTATTCGATATGGTTCGCTTTAGGATGAATCTAGTTAAATTTGAATTTATTCATGCCACAGATCATTAGCCTCGCTGACTTTCGTTGAAAGTAATTTGGTGTCATCTCAATGTCATGGAATTGATTTTCTTCAACAATATTCAGACATAGGGCTAACACACGTACAAGTATGTTTGGGAGAAAGTTCATTATTGAAACTCGTTATTTTGTAACTTTTGACTCTATTTTCTTCTTTGACAAACAAAATCGTTTCGAAGTTGGGAATTCGAAAGTATTTTTCTGTGTTTTTGCTTTATCTTGCCGCGATGTAAATAAACGGAAATGAAAAAACTCCCAGTATACTCAACAACAACGGCAATATTCTGAATATTGAGTTGGGCTGATGAATATCTTTAAATGACCTACAAGAGAATGAATTGATGACCTATCGGAATTTTGTAACCAATTTACGTTTATCCTTACACAAATACTCATGTTACCTAAGCGTATTCACAAATATTTTTTTAGTGCATCATCTCATAGATTATTTAATGAAACTCTCTCTCAAGAATTTCTTCATAGAGGTATAAATGAAAAATTTCAATGGATGAAAATTATCAGTATCCCAGATTCTCGCAATCGACAACCCAGATCCCTTCCTCTCCTATGAGTTTCAGTTATCACCAAAAACGAGAAATGATTGGAATCATAGATGGTGCTTGAACTTAAATTTCTCTATTTTGGGAGCTAATGGCAAAAATGCTCGGTCACTCATCAGATGATAGATTATGGGTGTATCATGTGCTAATGAAGTAAATGTGATGAACATTATCATATTATCAATACCATTGATGAATGGCACCTATTTCAGTACCGGTCAAAAAACTGATCTTTCTGGATCGATGTTCCTTCTCAGAGATGATGCATCATTCGTTTCTTTATATCGCTTTCGATTCTGATCAGAAGATTTTAGAGACGTTCAGCGTTATCTGCACTGCTAATGATGGATTATTATCAGAAAACTATCTATAGTAGTTTGAATTGACCGGAAGGACACCTATTCTGAATCGTGAAATGAACAACTCTTCATCAAATGAATATAATACTGAAAACAGCAATTTATCGGTTTTTAATTCTCTGTTGTAAACCGTTAGAAGTGAATCTTCAACAATAATGAACTGAATCAAGAAACCTAGTTATTACTCGGTTTCTTATACTATATCACTAATATTTCATTGCTAGGCGCAACCACTTGTCATAGAGTAATGTGTCAAAATGAAAAGGACATGCAAAAATAATACTCCATAAAATATTTTCGAACATTTTTGTCATACGCTACACGAAAGCTCACAGCCGAGTTAGAATTTTCTATTGGACTTTTCAACTTATAAGTTGTGAATAAGGTTGTTATTGCAACACATGTTTCATTATCATGTTCTGTACATATGCATATATTCCATTTTTATAAATATTGAATCATTTCAATTGTATATTTTTCAGCTGTTTAAGTGTATAGATAAGTTAAGGTTAATCTTGTACTGATGTTAATATTTATATTTAGACTTTATAGAAATTATTAGATAAGATCAAATTGAATGTTTCATGAAAGAATTCATTTTTCATTTCAAGATAGCAATAAAAAATACATATTTTCATATTGATTTTTATTTCCATAACTATTCAGGCTTGATCATGAAACCGTTAGATATGTTCATGAATGTTGTAGTTCATCTTAAATTTCAAATCCATGACATTTGAAAAAAAAACTGCAACGATTTCAAAATCATTTCAGAAATGCTGAAAAGAAAAATCAAGAAGCATAATATTAACTGAATTGTTTCATTATGTAGATGAAAAAGTGGTAAGTATGCCTCATAAGTGATGTTGTTATCTGCAGGTACCTGGTTAGCGAAAGACAGCATTTTTGTTCAGGTGAGAAAAGAGTTTTGAGTCTGTTCAAAAATTCTGCAATATTAGTACAACGTCAAATCGATCAGAAAGTGAGACATTATTTGGAAAGCTTCAACAATAGTGATCACTTTTTATTGTTGATCTCACAAAATTATTTCCATGATAATTGAAATATTCAAAATACTCAAATACTCAAAATTCAGTAGTGTAATTCTATGTTTCAATTAATTAGAATTCATTGACTAATTTCTTTATATTTTTCATTGAAATGAATTGAAATGAATCATTAACATTCCATTTTCAGAGATTCATGATACTGACATTGATATACACTCATTGTTTCAATGGAAATAAAATGACATTTCAATGAATTCCCTAAATCAGGTCAGAACCTTGAAGATGTGCTTAAGAAGAAGAACTTAGAAAAATGGTATTACGATAATTCCAGTTGAAAGTTGTTGTACAACTTTTTTACATTGACTTGTCTTCAACTCATAACATCAACACTGAGATCTACTGCATGAAATTCAAAAAAAAAATAGATAACTAAAACAGATTTACTGATCTACTTATGATGTCTACTTGGTCGGTAAAAAACCAGTGAGTATGCAAGAGTGTATTCAGTCATGTACGCCACTACTTCCCGGTACTGCCGGCGATACAGTGGCAGTGGACGGCTGCTCACCGGTATTTTACCGGCGACGATCACCGGTCGGCATGTGACATGTGATTCACTATTGAAATTTGGACGACCGGTAAAAACGCCCCCCCAAAAAAGCGGTGTGTGCAAAAAGACCCACACGCGAGAGAAAAAAAAGACAACACAAAAAGACACGCGGGCGAAAAAAGACCCGCGCACACCCCGCTATATCACATTTTCTTTTCTTCATTTCTTATTGTTGTAGTTTTAATTCATTTTCTGTGTTAGGAAGCAATTATTATAGGAATAATGGTAGCATGTTGAAGGCATGAATTACATGATCCAAAATGTGAAAATGCCAAAGATATGAATGGAATACTAATTGTTGATGTGGTATAAACTAAAACAGAAGTACAACGAATATTTACAATCACCGACAAATACTACGAAATCAGTAAAAAGTATATGGATCTACCGTCAACATTTTTCCCCACCCCATCTTTTTTCGTTAGTTATTTCAATGCAAAGTGCACAATTGAAAACATTGGTATCAATGAATTTGGTAGTTAAGCAAAGCAAGTTGCATAATTTATATACAGGGCATTGTTTTCGAAGGAAATCTGCAACCGTAATAGTTGATACCGTTGGTAATTTTACTACATTAAAACGTCATGGTGGCTGGAAAACCAATTCAGTGGCGGAAAGTTACATTGAAAATTCGGTTCAGAATGAAATCAGCATTTCAAATGAAATATTGAACTCTATTGAGACCAGTAATAATGAAATGAATGTTAATATTTATTGCACTTCCAAATCAGTGAGACCTGGAATAAACTTTTCAAACGGCCCAATAAATAATCTAAATATTTTTATGAAATTAGATTGATCACAATCATTATGTTCGATATAAATATAAATAGAATGTAAATAGTTTTTCTATATACATAGTAATACCCGAGACATAATTACTATTTTGTAGAATTTTTCAAAGAAATACGAGTAATTACTATTATTGTGTTCAATATAATTAAATTTCTTCATTATTTATCAGGTGTAGGGAAAAAGCGTATGCAAGAAGTTATTCACTCATCATCATTGAACTCATTTTCATGGAATGTCAATTATTACATATTAATAAACTACCTGTAGTAATTTTGTATTTTAATTGCATTTTCAATATCAACCACTTTTTGTCAGAATCATTCATTCATCTAATTGAGTTCTGTGATGACATTCTGTTATATACGAGACATTGTCAAATAGTTTGATTTATTCATTTATTTATTATTCATACAAACCTTGCGGTTCAATTACATGAATAAATGAGTAATTTAATAATCCGAAATAATAAAATACATAGTCAAATGAAATTTACATTATTTAGAAAATGTAGACACCTAAAAATTGTTATACCTACATATAACTATATTCTACAATATGTGAATTGTATGAGGACTGACACTCCTTTGTAAGTTTCTTATATATTATATAGAGAAAGAGAATCAATGACTCAAAGTTGTTTTACGGAAGATTCTGATAGAGACTGTCCATTCTAGTTCCATCAGTGTGTTAAGTTGATGTAGCAGTCCAACTGTTGATACTGTGTGGTGAAACAGAAATTGAAAAATTCATTATTTTGGGTTCTAATGTGTTGATGAAGACCTGTATGGATAGCTTTTGTTGAATTTAAAGCGTGAAAAGACAGCGCTACAACTTTTATTCATGTATTGAAAACGATAATGATTTTCTCAGTTACTTTTATAGAAAATTTTGTCAAATTTGATTCAACAAAAGAACCCAGAAGGTTCATAGTTCATGGAACAAGGCGTGCTATTTCCTTTTATAGATATGTTAGACCACGTCCAATCAGAGCACGCTCCGGAAGCACACACAACATCAACTGGTACAGCCGAACTTCCACTCATATTACCGGTCACATATTTCAAATTCAAGACTCTGATAGGTACATTTCCTTCAGGTTTGTTGTCATCAGCAGGATAATCTTGGTGTATTCTTATTGAGTAATTTTTGATTCCTGAAAAAAATAGGTATAAGGAATGTTAATAACTTTGCAGATGAAAGTAATAACAATAAGCAACTATGTTATATCGAGAAAGAGTAATTTTACTTGCGTAATAAACATTGTAAGATAACATTCTGCAGGATTTCATAACCTACAGTGTTTGTTGTAAAATCCAAAACCCAAAATGAAAGATCGACTAAAAATGAAAGATTGCTATTTTATTGAATTTAGAAAACTTATACCTATAATCGTACTCTGAATTTTTATATTTCATGAGCTGTATTAGAAAATATAATTTTCATAGAACTAACTGCCTGAGTTTTAACACTTTATTTTGCTTGAATAATGTATCGACTCGTATTTGGTTTCAAAGTTGAAGAAGAATTCATAACTATAAATTTTCATGAAGCTAAACATCTATTCACAATTATTTTTATATTTCTAACTTTCAAATAGAAATTCTGCTTGTGGTAACTCCCAAAATATAATCTCAAAAATCCAAACACTATGCATAACAACCCACAAAATTTCTGTACTATGATGAACTTTCAACATATCGTGAAATAGATTATCAAATCGATCTAGCTCGCACGGCGGTTTTGAAATAGCGTGCCCACATTGTCTAAGGTAAACAAAATTCAGGTATTCAAATAAATTAAGTACTTCTGTTATTACCTACAATGGTGTTGAATATATAAGGGCTAACATTATGAATTATTTACATTTAATTCTATTAATTTGAAAATGTTTACAGAATAAAACTGCAGTAAAGTTAGTTACGAATAAAAGTAACGAAAAACATAAAAAGTATTGTTTCTCATTTTATATAGAAGACAATGAATTGCTCATGATAACTGATCATGATCATGATGGAAATTATATAAATTATCGCAATTACCAACCAATCATATTGATGCTGCTGAAGGAGATGTTTTGTAATAAACCAGGTCCACTTCCTTTAACTGTTTTAACATGGATACCGTAAGTTGAGTTTTCAATAACACCATAATCGAACGTGATATTGGATACCACATTTTCTTCATATGCTTCAGGATCAGCCCCCACTTCTACGTTTAGACCGTTACCTCCATTGCAATAATTGTTACTGATTAACATATTCGAACCACGCTCCACCCTAATACAGTCATCCTGATTGAATACTAGCGAGTTTCTGATGGTGATGTTATCACCAGACACCTCAAAACCGACAGTGTCAACGCCAAGGTTATCCTGAAACGAAATGAAAAAAAAAAACAGGTTCGTCAATAGTCGTAGTGAATAACATGCCAATATTTGAGAATATCAACTTTCAGTATATTTTGAAAAAAAGAGATTTTGTCATGAAGGTTTCAACCTTTTGATAACATCGAAATATTTTGAAAACATATTCTTTATATCTCTGGTGTGACAATTGAATATTTTCGCAAAACGAAGTATCTAGCTTATCTGTATCTAGAGACATTTTCTGCTATGAAACAATTTATAATTTTTGTATGCTTCACAGAGTATTGAATATTTCACTGCCTGAAAGTAATTTTCAGAAAGAAGCGAGGTTCATCAAACAGATCATTCTCAACAACAGAAACATTTTTTTTTTCAGAGAATAAAAGAACAAAGGAGTAGTTTTTCGAATGTGAAGACCAAATTCACATCTGCAAACCATCTTCTGCTAGAGAAACCTGAGTTCAATCATCACAACTATGACGTATCACACTCGTAAGAAAAAAGTTAGGAACTCAATCGTTTGAAATGCTCGAAAATTATTAGATTCAAAAATTCAAAAATTTCACCGAATGAACAAATAGAATTGAATGCTTTCGCCTGGTGAAAATAAAATTTATATCATGACCATGTACCATGTCTGGTCTTACACATTAAGAATTCAAAAATTCCACTGAACGAACAAATAGGATTGAATGCTTTTTCTCTGGTAAGAATAAAATTTGAATCGTGATCATGTAACTAAATCTGGTCTTTCACCTTTTTGTTTGACCTTCGAATTATCTAGGTGTTGAATATTTTAATCAATGGAATCAACAATATTATTCTAAAGAATAATCTATTATACGACTTTTGTAGATATGTATTATATATGAGAGTTTGTTGATGATGATACAATGGAAAAACTTTGTTCAGTTTAATGTTTATCAAAAAGTAGCTGATACGAAAGGATGCTTTTCTTTCATGTTTTTAAATGTTCATGTGGAAGTATATGTCACGAAATGATTTTTTTCTTCCAGTATTCATCTGAAAGGAACTTCTGTATATGCACTACATATCTGTAGTATATGTCTCACATATTTTTTCCGTGGATGGAAAAGTATCTCAATAATTTTTTTTTGTATCCACACTACAATCGCAACTTTCTATAATGAATGAAATTTCATCATGAGTTTATTCAAAAAGTTGATGAAAATCAGTTGATTCTGATATTTTATTCAACGACAGTGTCAATCTTTCAAAACCGTTATTTGAAACTTTCACAATGAGAATCGAAAAACTCAAGGATTGCTAGCTTCGATGGAACATCATTTCTTTTAAAAACGAAATCGACAGTGTTTTTAGCGCACACAAATTTTCAAAATTCGGAACTTGATTGCATTGAAATACGTGAATTTTTTTTTTCCAAGCAGCAATATATTCCCATCGTATGAGAATATATAGATTCATTGAATATGATGTCTTTCCAGATATCACAAAATAAGATTATACTCGTAAGACGATTATATATTCACACTTTCAACAACCTACCAATACTTTACAATTTCACAATCTTTTTTTCTGATATGTATTATTTCACAATTCCTAAACATGCACTGAGTGTCGAATGAAAAATTAATATTATCATTCAAAATTTGTTGTTCTGATAGATCTATTATGAATCGAATAAATGCCATTTCGATGTTTTCTGTGATAACTTTTTTCAATTTTCAATTTTTCGACAATAGACACCCAATTCAATGTTTTCAGCGTTATGAACTCACTTTGTCTCCATCAGAAGTATTAATAGTCCAGCCATTGATGAGGATGTCCGATCCAGTAATGGAGGTACAACGTTCTGGACAATTCACAAAATTCAAGACATAGAATTCACCTCCCTGTACGTTGATTTTCAAAAAGAGTGGTTTTTTAGACCCTTGACTACCTTTTCCGTCCCAATATTCTTCTCCTTGTCCGGAGAATCCGATACCTTGAAATAACAGTAACAAAATAGTTTTTCATTGTGATAAGATTACGTGATCGAATGATTGATAACTTTCACATATATTCAGTGGGCTGTAAATCAAATTAACTGAAAGAACAATTTGTTCAGGCCAGTCTCGACTCACCTATACATTTCGAAAATAATCATAACTCAAATATACTTGCAATTGTAGAAATCTTGAACAAGCAAGCAAAGCAATTCGTTATAAGAATCGTGCTAAATACGCAATGAAACATTGATTGGATAAATATATTTTAAGAAACTAAAAAACACGCTTTTGAAGAACATCGAACTGAAAAGTTAAGGATCAATCAGCCGTATATTGTTTGGAAAAATGACCATTGATATTTTTCGATTCCGGAGAGGTGGCGTGAAAATCAGCTACCAAACCAAGCCCAAGGAAGCATGCGCGCAAAGGATGGTTACAAATAAGGCAGCAGGCGCACGTGGTAATGAAAAAAATACTTTTTTCAAATGAAAAAATACTTTTTCCAAATGAAAAAATACATGTGAAGTGAGTTCGAATTATATCAAGGACGTTACGTACAGCGCCATCTGCCCGCGAATAGATCAAACAATGATATTGATAATTCTGGATACAAACATACATATATACATACATTCAGGTGAAGCTAATAAAAGCGTGTTGGTAAAAGTATTGAAATTGAAAATATACTTTTTCAAATGAAGAAATACATGTGAAGTGAGTTCGAATTATATAAAGGAAGTTACGTACAGCGCCATCTGCCCGCGAATAGATCAAGCAATAATGTCGATAATTCTGGAGTTACAAATAAACAAACATACATATATACAGACATATAGGTGGAGCTAATAAAAGCGTGTTGGTAAACGTATTGAAATTGAAAAATGACTTTTTTCAATTGAAGTAATACATGTGAAGTGGGTTCGAATTATATCGAGTGGTCCAACGAAAAGTAGGCACCTTTCTTTTCTCCTTTTTTTGTAACTTAACGCAGAAATGCTCGGACAGGTCAATTTTGCTTTTGAGGAGGACACATTTTAGATGTATTTTTCTACGTGTGCCTTCAACCCCCTAGCGAGGGTGAGTAACAACCCTAAAATTTTAAATGGAAAGTGGGGTCGAGTGATATATCATTTGAAAGGGCACAAAGTTCTCTTTCCAATGATACCTAATTAGTTGTATTTACTTGAATAGTTATAAAAAAAGCAAGAACATCTGCTCGATATTTTTGGTGTTAATGAAATGCGGAAAAAACGGCATTTTTATCACTACTACATTTCTCTCGTGCATTTTTTGGTTCAAATAACAACAGCAGATAAGTGTACAAAAATAATTTAGGCAAACGTTCATTGTTTCAGTTCGGTTGCTTTTGAAATTATTTCAACTTTACTGTAAAAATGGTTCATTCCATTCCTGAATGAGTTGAAATTGTTAAACTTTATTATCGACATAATAGTTTTGCTAGACTTACTGCTCGCCTCTTTAATAACAGTCATCCCGGGAAAAATGTGATTCGTACGATACCAAGTTAGTCCAAAAGTTTGTCGATACCGGATCTGTCTGTAATGTGAAACACCAGCCACGGAAACCGATCAGAAATGAAGCAGTGGAAGTCGCTGTTTCGGGACATGTTGAATTGGATCATACTCAAAGTACCCGTCAGCTTGCTGCAGTCTCAGGTGTCTCCCGTTCGTCCATAATACGGATATTAAAAGTCTATAAATTTCATCCGTACAAAATTAAATTAGTTCAAGAACTCAATAAAGATGATCCTGATAGAAGGCTGCAATTTTGTGAACAACTGAGCCAGCTACTAATTGATGATCCGCACCTATCATTCAACACGTGCTTTTCCGATGAGAGTACATTTTTTTGAATGGAGCTGTGAATAGGCATAATTGCCGTTACTGGGTGGACAGTAACCCACACTTATTTCGAAAGGTCCATACCCAGTACCCTCAAAAATTCACTGTCTTGTGTGGCATATTAGGTAGTCATATCGTAGGGCCACTTTTAATTCCTGGGAATTTAACTGGAGAGGTCTACCTGAACATGCTTGAAGATACAATTGATCCTCTCATAACAGAAATAATTGAAAATGACGAAAATCATAATAATGATCGGCTTCATTTCCAGCAAGATGGAGCACCTCCTCACATGTTGCTCCGGTAAGAGAGTTTTTAGATGACCGGTTTCCTGGACGGTGGATTGGAAGGAGAGGCCCCATCGAATGGCCTGCCAGGTCACCTGATTTATCGCCTTTAGACTTTTTCCTTTGGGGACACTTGAAAAATAAATGTTTTGCTACGCAGCCCGAGTCCATAGAAGATCTTCGCCAACGAATTACAGCAGAGTGCAGAAGTATAACACCTGATATGCTACAGAAGGTTAGGAATAGATTTGAACAAAATCTGTATTATTGTATGGAAGCGAATGGGTCACATTTTCAGCACTTGCTAAAGTAGAATTCTACTAAGTCAATTACACATTTCAAAGTACTGGGTTGTAGTTGTTTTTCTTCATAATACCTACATGTTTGAGAGAAATACAACAAATTAGGTATCATTGGAAAGATAATTTTGTGCCCTTTCAAATGATATATCAATCTATTCCACTTTCCATTTAAAATTTTAGGGTCGTTACTCACCCTCGCTAGGGAGTTGAAGGCACAGGTAGAAAAATACATCTAAAATGTGTCCCCTTCGAAAGCAAAATTGACCTGTCCGAGGATTTTTGCGTTAAGTTACAAAAAAAGGAAAAAAGCAAGGTGCATACTTTTCGTTGGACCACTCCGTATAAAGGAAGTTACGTACAGCGTCAAATACAGATCCCGAGCATTCAAACGGAAAAGCAGAGTTACATAAAACAATCATGCATACATAGAGATGAACAATATGTGTTTTCCTAGATTTTTCTAGAAAAAAAGATTCTACGTATGTGCCTACCATTCATTGATAATCGAATTGTTTTATAAATCATAATTATGATGAGCTGAAGTTCCAGACGTGAAACGATAATAATTCGTGTAAGTTATGTGGAAGGTATGTTTATGGAAATTACTTGTTACAGAGCCCTGAAGGAACATTTGATTAAATTCGAAACTTCGCATAGATCCTGTTACTCAAGCAACCTTTCTTTAGAAAAATTATTGTTTGAATAACCAATTACACTATCAAATGTATATATAGATTATAAAATTACTTATCAATGAACTTCTAAACGAGGTATCTCGCCATTGTAAATTGAAGGGTGGATTCTACCCTCGAAAGGAAAAGTGTCAGATCTGAGTTGCCTCTTTCATCCGAGGCCAAATATGAAAAACGGCCTTGATTGTTATTCATTTCCAAACCCTTTATATTTATAGGGGGCCCATGGATATGATTTGATACTTTTCAATCATATTGATAACTGGCAATATTGCAACACTGGATGAAGACAAGTAAGACACGTGCCACTCACCTGCAGCTCCATATATTCTCAAATCATTTCCTTCAATATTAACTAGAGGACCGTCCCAGTTAGCTACCCCAAATTTAACGATATCCTTGAAATATAATGTAGTTCCTGTTTGTAGTTTCAGATTCAAAGTCTCGCCAGCAGGAACATCCATTTTCCATACTCTTATATTGGTACATCTACTCACTACGTCTGGTACTTGAGAAAAGTCGGTGATATCACAATCTCTCTTCAGTATATTAGTATCCACAGTGTAGAAAAGTCCGCAACATATCGCTAAAATAGCCACTAAACTCGCAAAATACATGATTTCTGACTTACTGTTTAGAGAATATCAGAAAATGTAACTATCAAGAAAATAATCACAGGATTTATATGTCAATCTGATAATTGTTATCTAATACTTTTACACTGGATTGAAATAAATATAGTCTTTATTTCCACACTACATTAAATCTGCGAAATGCTGCGGATTTGTACTTGCATTGCAACTGTACAAATTGAAAATATGCAATAAAAATTGATATGTGATGGAGTTGGTTGACACTTGATGAAAATTCATGCAAGTTAGGTACATTTTATAGTGATATTTTCACCGAACAGTTCAGAAAAACGCAGCACGTATTTTTGATTTATCAGACATCAATTCTCATACATTAAATTCACTAAATTATTATACTTAATTTGAAAAAAAAATCACTGATAGATATTCATTTGGGCTACTAATCATGAAGATTTTGCACTCGTCAAGTATGTGCTTACACAGTAAAATACATTTCAAAGAACATACAAATTACAAATTAAATAAATGAAACAAGACAAAAGTACAGAACTCTTTGAATAAATTATGGTTGAACTATCTAATAACGTTCAGCAACAACCCAGATCAACATTAAAAATATCATCGATTGAGGAATAGCTTTCCTGTATAAGTAAACGTGACTGTCCAAAAAAATAAGGTGATTGTTCAAATTTCGCAGGCTACGTACATTCCATTAGCGATTTTTTAATTTTTTTCATTTTGGTACACTCGTTTCGAACAAATGTTCACAGTTTCAGATGGTTCGTGAGAGGCATAAAAGTCAGAAGAGTATTGCGTGTTCGAATATTTTCTGTTATCGAAAGAGATGGATTAAAGATCTATCACCATACTTTGTGAAAAAAATGAAGTTTAGTGCTCAGAATCACTTGAGATGTTAACAGTGGCATACGGTGACTGTACTATCGAGTCAGAAAAAATGTTCACAAGTGATACAAGCTTTTCACAGAAGGTGAAAAAAATGTGAATGACGACACTCGCCTGGACGCCACAGCACATCAGCAACAGATGAAAATATGAAAGTGAAGAAAATTGTAATGGAGAATCCTCGAATCACTATTAGGGAGATGGTTGAGGATGTCGACATATCGGTTGGTTCATGCCATGCAATTTTTTTGAAAATTCTGAACATGAAGCGTATGGCAGCAAAGTTCGATCCAAAATTGGTGAACTTTAACCAAAGAAACCATCGCATGAGCATCGCTCAGCAATTGTTAAATAACGTCAAAAACAATTCAGATTTACTTGAAAGGGTCAAAACTGGTGACAAATCATAGGTATATGGTTTGTTTGAAGCGGGTTGACAATGTTCCATAGTGAATTTCATCAGTTTGGCTTCCATTGTTCGATATGATATAAAATGATTTGAAATATCTGAAGGAATCAATAAAATTGAAGGAAATAATAGCCCAAGACCCAAACAGCACGCCAAGTTCTATCAAATATCAAAGTTTTGCTCATAGTTTTTTTTTAACACCATGGCGTAGTGCATTATGAGTTCTTGCCACATGATCGTACTGCCAATAAGGAGTATAATCTTGAAGTTATGCGCCGTTTACGAGAAACAATACAAACAAGAAAACGTACGGTTTTGTGGAAAAACAAGTGAAGGTTTTATCATCACTATGATACACCTGATCACTGGACATTGCTTGTTCCTAATTTATTGGTCACGATTAACACCGTAATTAGATTTGGCCCCCTGCAATATTTGTCCCCAAGATTGAAGAGACACATGAAAGGACGACGAATTTTTGAAACTATTCATTGCATTTCTAACATTGTTTGAAGAAATTTTCAAGAAACTGAATTGTTGTGAATATTTCTCAGAAAGAAAGTTTGTTGGTTGTATATCACATTGTTGTACATTATTTATGATGAACGAAGGTTAGTGCAGAAAAAAATTATTCATTCTATTGGTAACAAAAGTTATAGAAATCGCACCTTCCTTTTTGAACTGTATGAAATTCTCAACTTCATCCCACATAGATTCAATTTTGTCAGATTTTAGAAAAATATATTTTTCATTTTTTTTGGCATCATATACCTCATTTCTGTAAAAAGATATTGAGTGGAAATAAGACACACAAAATACTTAAATATAAGAGGGGTAGTTCAATTCCAATTCAGAATAACTTGAAATCTTCTCAAAATCAAAATATATCGCAAAATGGAGTGAGCAGATGGATCATTTCCCAACTGTCTCAGAAGATGCAGAAGGGAAATAAACAAGTTCTGAAATTACCTTTCTCTCACAGAAAAAAAAAATACCATAAGTATATCTGATTCATTTTCAAGCAATTAAACTTCAAATTCCTCATTCCGTTGGTCCAATATCAACAACAGCTACAACACAATTAGTTCAGTGATACATGCTTCAGTCAAAACCTGTGGGCTTAATGAGTTGAAAAATATTTCCAACACTTGTTTCATGAACAGTGTAATCCAATGTTCATCAAATACAAGACGGTTACTGAAATATTTGAAAAAGGATGAGTATATGAAAAATATCAATAATAATATTTCTAGTACGGAAGGTGCTTTAATCAAAGCTTTCGCGGAAGTTAACAAGCAATTGTGGTCAGAAGATTCACCTGATAGGGCAGTGAACACAGTCTCCTTAAAAAGTCAGATTCAGAGTTTTGCCCCTCGATTCATGTGTCATGCGCATCAAGACGCCCAGGAGTTCCTTCGTTATTTTTTAGAAGGTTTACATGATGATGTTAATAGAATTATTGAGAAACCTAAACCGACATGAACGGAAAGAGTCATGGCTGATTTATTTGAGTACATATAACTCTAAGATTGTAGATAATTTCCACGATGAAGTTCACACATTGTAGACACTCATCTGTAACCTTCGATCCTTTCTGGGATTTGTCACTCCCCATACCACAAAGAACTGGTCAATTGAGTTTAACACAATGCCTGGATTTCTTTATAAGAGAGGAAACTTTGGACATGAAAAACCGACGTGTTCAAATTGCAAGGAAAGAAGAAAATGCACAAAGTCTCTATCGATCCATGAGTTTTTCCGTATTTTAGTCATTCATTTTGGAAGATTTTCTGTAACAGAAAGATTTACAGGCAAGTTGGATGTTGCCATCGAATTTCCTCTAGATGGATTAGATATGAACAATTATGCAGCAGACAATGTGACTCCTTATAATCTATATGCACTTTCGAATCACAATGGGTCTAGGGGAGAGGGGGGTACATTGGGACACGGGGCACATATGGACATTTCAAATTTTTGCGCCATTAAGCATACAGTTGAGTTGTAATGCTTATCGTTAGAGGGCACCACGTACCTTTTTTATTGTAGAAGAGTTTCGAAAGCGTCAAGCGACTCAGTACCTAGTTACAGTTTGTTACGTGCACGTGTCCGGCGTGGTAAATAAATCAGAAATCGTTTGAGATCGAATATTTTTCAAGTGGATGAAATTTTATTTCAGCTTATCTTATTTCATCTCATTTCACCCTAATACTTGTTGACCTTTTTGGTGTATAATGTACTGAAACTGCCCAGGGAGTTGAATAAAGTTATTTAATCCAATTGAGTACTAACATTCGGGAATTCAAAGAGATTATGTGATATATTATATTCCTTTAAGTTTCCAATATTCATTGTACATCACATTTTTTTTCGATATCTCGTGATTTACCATTTTCTCTTCGAAATCTATCCTGTTACACCACTGCTCTATTTTCAATGAAATCATCAATATTGGTTGTGTGGTGGAGGAAATGGCAAAGAGTATTGAAACTACTGTAAGTTTCTAATGAAGTTTATTCGTTTCAACAAGAGAATCCAGAAGGCTTATAGTTCATGGAACAAGGCAGCTTATTTCCTGTTACAGAAATATCGGACCACTTCCAATTAGAGCATGCTCCAGAAGCACAAAGAACTTCGACTACGGAAGATCTGGGTCCTTTCATATTGCCTTCAACGTGAGATATTTTCAAATCGTCAATTGGTACATTTCCTACGGGTTTTTTATCATTAGATGGATAATCCTGGTGTATTCTTATCGCAAACTCTTTGATATCTGGAAAAATAATATGATTATCAATCATTTACATAACCACACGTCACATTTCATACAAGTGCTGAGAAATATTTTGAAGAGTGTTGATAAGATAATGTGAGATCGGCCTTGGAACTGACTTTATTTTGCTACAATACTGATCATGGTACACAATAATTTGGCAATTATGGAATTTGCGTTTCTATATTTTGCAATCTATGTATTTCCAACTTCTTTTTTAGCTTTCACTGAAAAAAAAGATGAATGTTCTAGCAGAGCTCATGTTCAAATACCCTCCGACCTACAAAATCATAATACAGGGCGTTCCAACGAAAACGTGACCTCCCCTGTGAGTCAGAAACAGACATGTGATCAAGAATTTCAAAGAACATGTCAATTTTAATTTCTAGAGGGACTGATTCTGAAATGAAAATAATACCCGAAACTTCACCCCTCTGCGGTCAGCAACTACCTCCACTATTTTTTTCAATGGCAATTTTTTTCAATGAGGAAATCAAAAGAAAAAATATCAGTGGGAACAGAATCAACAGATGAATTGTTCAAAATGACCTCCACCTAGTTCTATACATTATTCAAGATGTCCAGAGTCAGCAATCGGCATTCACGAACAATTCTCTGTCGCAGGTCTTCTAGATTTGTAGGCTCAGTAGAGTACACTTTCGACTTCAGGTGTACCCACAGAAAGAAGTCCATCGGTGTGAGATCAGATGATCTAGCTGGTCACTCTATTGGACCCCTTCTGCCGATCCAATGCATTGGGAAACATTCGTCCAAAAACTGTCTCACTCGAAGATCAAAATGTGGTGGTGCATCATCCTGTTGAAATGTTATTTCATTTTTCACTAAATTATCATCATGTTCTGATATTTTTTTAATCATAGAATCTACTCAGTCTTGTGATTTGAGTATGTGTCTGTGAGATAACCTTCAATGAAGAATGGTCCAATAATATGATTACCAAGAATGCTGGCCCAGACTTTTGATTTTTGTGGAGTTTGTGAATGTGTTTCCATATTTATTGTATGATAAGTTTGGGTTATTGGTCAATTTCTTGCTGAACACCTCATAAAACTGAAGTCGACGATCAGGATCATCTTCGTTTCATTCCTGAACTAGCCTTATTTTGAAAGGATGGAATTTGTAGGCTTTCAAAATCCGAAAAACACTAGTAGCTGATACACCAGACGCTCTAGTTACTTGTGTGATAGATTGTCGATTATCCATTTGTACAGGTCCTAAAACTGCAACTTCAACTCCGCCATTTCCGACAGGACGGAATACTTCATGTTTTCTGTACTGAACAGAACCTGAAGTTCGAAACTTATTCGTTAACTGTTTAACGAATTGATGTATCACGTTGTGGTCTGGATGATTTGTATTATGAATTCTTGCAGCAGCTTTAGCACATTAATTATTTCGATAATAGGTGGCAACAATTTGTATTCTTTCTTCAGTAGAATAAACTAGAATGACTGAATAATAATTCGTGAAAAAGTGACAGTGGCCAACTATAAACTTTTGGTTCTGCGACAACTAGGTTCAACAAAAACTACCAGTGCAGAAAAAACTAACAGTGTCGTATATTTCAAAACTTTCACTAATAATTAAATGAATCCTATATATCTAGAAGACCTACGACAGAGAATTGTTCGGGAATGCCGATTTCTGACTCCGGACGTTTTCAATAATGTAAGGAACGCTTTCGAAAGTAGACTATTATTGTATGGAACTAGATGGAGGTCATTTTGAACACTTCATCCGTTGATTGTATTGCCACTGATATTACTTTTGATAATTTCCTCAATAAAATGAACAACAGCAAATTTTTTTTTCAATAAAGCGTTCAAGATTTGATTTCTCAAGAACAAATGGAACAATTTTTTAAAAAATCACAGACGTGATAGAGAAATGAAAGACCTTTCAAACGATGCATCACTCGACTCCCCATGTAATTGAAAAAAAAAATAGGTAGGATAGTTGCTGACCGGAGGGGGATGAAGTTTCGGGTATGATTTCCATATCAGAATCAGTCGGTCTAGAAATACAAATTGACGTGTTCTTTGAAATTTTTGATCACAGGTCCGTCAAACAAGCTGCAAGCAGTTATTTTTGAAACCGAGTGAATTGTTCATCAAAAAGTTGTAATTTTTTTGAAATGATGAACAGGTTTCGCCATTATCATAATATTAAGATATTCTAGTGAATTTCAGCAAATTATAATATAAAGGAAAAATGATAATTGTCGACTATGGGAGGAACAAGATGAACGAAGATGATAATTCAGGAATCTACTGAATTAAATAAAAATGCAATGATAAATATTATATTGTAGAAACTCAATGTTCAATTAGAACTCGTTACAAAAATTAGGCTTATTCGACTCATTAACCAGATTATCTAGTATTTATCGACACGCTTTGAAGATGAATCATTGCATGGAATTAGTCAATTAGCTTCCCCGATTCATAGCAAAACTGGAATATTTGAAATGTGTCGAGAGTAATGAGAAAAATATCCCTCACAGTCAGTATTTTCATGGAAAGATTTTTACATAACTGAAAAATAAAGGTTATTCATAAAAGAGTTTCAATGGACCGAATGTAAATTTCACTTATAATTCAACTAGTTTTGAATTACTTCCGGAAATTTTGTCGAATTCACAAAAAAAGTGCACAAGAAAAGATATTTGCCCATTGCATTCTTTGCAAAAATTCCACACAAACTGAATTCTAAAAAAATCATATGGAAAACATACTAGACAGTTTTGTTTTGTTTTGACTGTAGCTGAATGTTGAATGTGTCAAGATTGAGCTACTATAATTGGCAATCTTTTTTCAACCTTCTTTGGATCAGTTTCATTGGGATTTATATTTTTGTTATTCCACTTATTAGGTACTCGTGTACATTATAGTGAGCTTTGAAATTATAGTTTTACATGGGAATAGGAACATTGTCATTCAGGAACGACACAAAAAGTTATACTGTCTGAAAAATTGATTATTTTGAAAATCATATCTTGTATTTTGTATATAAAGTCTAATGTTGGAGTGTGCCATTGTACTCTGTCTTTTGGGGAAACTCATTGTTGATTGCGGCAGTTATTCGGTTAAAGGAAATTTGTTTTTTACTATACACAATATTTACTGCAGTATTATATAAAATAAAAACTGTCAAACCGACAACAGTTGGGTTGGTATAACAATTTATTAAATACAGATATTCAATGAAAATACAGTATGTCTCAATCCAGCCTATCCGCCACAACCAAATGTTCTGTATTTACTTTTGTCCACTTCTGCTGAACGTATCATTATCTGCCCATTTTGAAAAATGTTCCCCAACATTCGCTTTAGGTTAACTCTTCGAGAAAAATTGTTCAACAATTTTGCCATTGTAGCGCGCGAAACGCAATATAATGGATAAACTTGTTTTTATTGTCAATAGTGAGTTGATACATATAAAGCATACAAAAAAATCAAACAGATTTTATGGCCTGATTGGATGGCCTGATATGAATAATAAGAGTATACTTCATTCCTTCACAAAATCATAGTTACCAGTTACTTCTCATATTTATACTTGAAAATCAAATTCGGAATATAATTGAAATATAAGACTTAATTAAAGCTTGTTGACAATACCTATTTTCAACACTGAAATTTTCAGGCGATCGTTTAGTTATCAAATTTGATATTTCTACACCCCAGTCCCACAAGAAATTGAAAAATCAAAATTTGAAGCAAACAAATTGATGTCATCTCGGAGGTGAACTATTGTTCTACCCTATTTGTGGAACAAGTATGTCTCGTTATAAGTTAATTGAGAATTAATGCCGAATAAAATATGTACGATTTATAGGAAAAAAATTTATCGTAATTTTCCATCACGGAAATTGAACTTCGCCCTGTGTTTTCAATACGAACCTACTCTATAACTGACCTATTATGACTGAAAACAATGAAGGAGACATTATTATTGATTCATGAATTGATTTTAAGTTAGAATGCCCACGTTTGATAATTTGACTGACATCTTGAAAATTGATCTACATTAAAAACTGTTGACGAAAAATTTTGAATGACATCAAGTAAGCAAAAATTCTATCCACCTGGATAAAACAGTCATCATGTGTTGACACAGTTCTGACACGAGTAAAAATGATTTCTATAGATTCATTCTACATCAAAAGTTCCAGTTCTATCTAATATTACTTACTCATCATTCTAATACGATTATAGTTGACATTACTGATCAAACCAGGTCCACCGCCTTTAACAGTTTTCACGTGAATCCCGTTGATCGAATTTTCAACAATGCAATCTTGGTAGGTAATATTGGATACTACATTATTCTCGTATACCGTAGGATCAATTCCCACTGCGACGCTGAGTCCATGACCTCCTTTGCAATAGATATTTTGAAAAAACATGTCAGAACCACGGTTCACCACTACACAGTCATCTTGATTGAAGACTCGGGAGTTTATGATTGTCATGTTGTGCCCAGATACATCAAATCCATCTGTATTAACTCCAAGATTACCCTAAAAAATATAACTATAACTACGAAATGTTTTCATAATATCCATTAAAAATAAATTCAACACCCTTATCAAACTTTTGTTCAATAACCAATGGCGATGACGCTATCTACGTGATCTACCAAAGACTCAATTTCTGCCCTTGCAATCTTCTATCTATCTGATATGTGTACATTTATTGTTAGTAGATAACTGCAATAATGATTAATGGGGGTGTATTAACTGCCATCGCGATGGTTTACGTAAAATATTATTTCATTCATAGATATCGAGGTCGATCACCCGTTTCTTCGGTGTCGATATTTTTCCAGTTGATAAAGCGCTGAATTACTTTATGACTGTCGGACCTTTGAGCATCGTTGTGGTCATGTACAAGTCGGGCTAGACTAAACAAATGAATATATCACATTCTGACGATGATCATACGCTTGGGAAGGTTCAAAATGCTGACATGACGTTTTTGTGGCTAGCGTTGCTGATGCGAGGGCTCATGAGTTTTTGCGAGAGATACAAAGTCGAGACGAGCCTTCGAGGCTGAGAAAGGTGGCCTAAATAGGAAAATTATTTTGTCTAAGCGCGTAGTGCGAAATTCAAGGATATTCGGGAGTAAAATCGTAGGCCGGTATTGGGTACAGGGAAGTTTAAATTAAATGTGTTGGTGTTGAAGATACACCGGTTTAACGGAACCTATGATTCACCATATTAGTCGAATTGGCGGCATATTATTTGTTCAATTTTCTTAAATTTTATAGGATTTACCGTTTTTTTATATGACATTCAACACGTTGTTTTTATTATTTTGTACAAGGAGTCGTTGTTTTACTCCATCTACTTCCTTTTTGAAACCTTGGACTTTAATTTTTTCTTGAACTAAGAAAAATACCATCCTCGTAAAGTAAGAAGAGATTTTGTCACTCTATCGAGAAGGTAATAGTAAGTGAAAAGCATATTAATTAAGAGTAAAATTCAACTCTCGAACCACATAATGAGAGAGAATATAAGTAGGTATACCAATTGATCGGAATTCAAAAAGACCAGACTTCGTGCGATCAGCACGAGCCCTACAGCCATTTTGGAATTGCCTGACATCCATATTTTGATGTGGCGGAATCTGCATCTGGTAACAGCAGATGCCAATTTTTATTTGAATAAAACAAACACGGCAATAGCGAGAGGTTTACCAAGGATTGATAGACAGTAGAGTATTATTTCACTGGTGATTTTTGCACGTTATTTCACTGTTGACTGAAGAAGGAAAACCGTATTTCTTACAGGGGCCTGAAACGGTTCTTTGCGATATTCGGATATGTTCAGAATTGACCATGTTGCATTATCCCATGAATATTTCTAACAACTCTTCTGTATGCCTCAAAAACGGTATTTTCATCTGGAGTCTGGAAGATAATTGAACGTTTGATGAAAATTCAAACGAATGAGGAACTGAATGGATAGAGTTCGAGCTTGATAACAAAATTAAGGATTGAAAATTAGTTACAAATTGTTCAAGATATTTTTGAACCATTTGGTTGAATAATACTATATTCAATTGTAGATGATGAATTCTGGGCTGGTGGACCGTGGTCGGATGGAACGTGAAGTACCGAACATTTCGTCAGCTACTGCGGCTGATGTCATCAGTGGTACCTGAATGCGTTGACTATCTACATGACATTCGATTCCTAAATACTTCATATGAGATGGACACAAGCGACGCATTTTGCAGTACAAATAGTTCATTCTGTTTTATAAATGATAAGAATCTATTGCCAATGTTGATAAATATAATCTGAATTCAAGCTGATTGAATTTGAAATGCACTTAGAAAAAAACTTACACCCGTTTCCATAGTACAATAGTTCAGAACGATATTAATCACTATAAATGTATTGAATTTCTCATGAAATCCTTCATTAACATTTCATTGACTCCATCAACTATTTCAAATAATTGTATCACATTGAAATTTCAACTAGTGGCACGTTATTTTCATGAGCACTTCAAATAATTTGTAATAGTTTTTTCGAGATTTTCAGTTCGAATATTGAGAAAGTTGTTACATTCTCATATCCTACAGCTTTGCCGATATTTCATTGTCCATATCAACTGAATAATGTGAATATTTTCCTGTTCATTTCAGTAGAATTGTGATTAATATATTTTCATGTAATGATTAGATTATTCTTCAGAAAAAGTACTCTTTCAGATAAATTGTATATGCTTTATCCTCTTAATTAACGTTCCATGCAAATTTGTGCCAAAATAATAATTTTTGTATTGCTCTATCACTTACAGAAAAATCCAAACACGAACATTCCATTATATAAGATGGTAAACTCAAAATTCTGTCAAAAAGCTATTTAATTCGTAAATGTCTTCAGTCAATCTTTCCTCGAGATATACATATACTTACTGCTTCAGAGACATCAATAGTCCAGCCATTCAAGAAAATATCAGATCCTCCAATAGAAGCACAGCGTAGAGGACAATTCAATAGATTGATGTTGTAAAATTCACTTTCATGTGCATTTACTCTGAGTAACACCGGTTTTTTCGTTCCTTGACTGCCTTTTCCATCCCAATATTCTGCTCCTTGTCCGTCAAATACAGAACCTTAGAGAAAATAAGTCTACTCAATTTTATGTAACAGTTATTATCTTTTCGGCATGCTCCATGTATAAATATTTTCTGAGAAATATTACTGTGTTTAGGTGAAATTCATATAGAAATACATCCAGTTGATCCATATTCGAGAGTAAAGTTCACAGAGTTAGTGCTTTTTTGAATATTCGAACAAACCATCGAAAGTATGATTCATAAAATCACTGATTCAAGAAATATGAATCATTTGTGACAAATCTATTGAGAGAATATCATGTAAACATTCTTTCAAAACCGTTTTTGAGAGGAAGTTAGTTTTTTGCTTTGATATTTTCATTAATTCTTCTAATATGTGAAAAATAAACAAATGTGTACCAAGAGAGAACCTACTGAGAGAGATATGACAAAGGGCAAACTGAAAAATGTAATGACTACATTTCTCAATTATTGAATAATATACTCTCTCCCGATTATTTATTTCATTTGTTCGAAAAACTTGTGAATTGAATAAGTTACTAACCGATACTACATCTCAGGAGAGTCTACGTTTATTTTTTAGATTTTGAAAGTTTGAATACTCAAAAACTGGCAAAAATTGTATATGCATTTTTCAAAGCATTTGTTACTATTGAAAAGTACAAGTGAGTGAGTGTAGTAGTAAGTAAGTAACAATGATCAAAACTTGCAGTCCGTTTCTGGTGACGAACGAATCGCGTGTCGAAATACATTGTTCTGATTTTGATGTACATGAAAAGAGTTTCGAATATGAACAAAAAGGTTGATAATGATAATTGCTGGTATATCAAATAACTACTATTGTTTCAAAATGAATCCGTATCGGATAAAGAATAATACCAACCTGGTGTTCCTGATACTTTTATTCGACGTCCTTGAATCTTCACCAGGGGTCCAGCCCAGTTAGATTTCCCAAATTTGATAGTACCATCGATAATTAGAAAAGTTCCTGGTTGCAAGTTTAGATTTAGTGTTTTGCCAGCAGGTACCTCAAAACTCTTCAAAACTATTTTTGTACAGCTGCTCACTACCTTTGAAACTTCAGAGTAGTCGGTGATGGTACAGCTGCTTCCAGCTACAGGCGTTACCACCATGGAAGATACCCCCCAACATGAGATTAAAATACTAATCAAGTCAGCAACAAGCATGATTTTTGATTGGATATATTCTGAATTATTTGAGGAAATCAATTTTATATCGAAAACTCTGAGTATTCTGCTATCTCATTCTTGATTAGGTCAACTTGAATTGATGAAATTATCAAAAGAATTTGTCGTGATGAAAAGTAATCGAAATAAACATTCTGATTGTTCAAATTTGATTAAATATAATATTACTCCGAAATATGTAGATCAATTGTAGAAATTTCGTTCACATACAAACTAAAATTAAAATAACAACAATGAGTTATACTGAAATCCTTTTTTTCCATTCAATTTGTACTTCAAATATCAGTAGAAGAAATAAAACAGATCTATCTGTTTTTCCGTTAACCAGCTATCGCACATCTACGAACGACAACCCTCAGAAATCGAAACTAGTGCGAGCTAAGGACTAACGAGATCTTACCTTTCAACGTGTGATTCCTAACACGGGTTGGACGATAGCAAGTGAAATGCCAGAGGTTTAATTTTTACTTTATATTTTAACATTTTCTTTGTATGAATATGAAGAAGTAGAAATCCAAAATTTTTTTCTGAAAATTAATCTCTTCTTTCGAATTGAATAATTGATATTTCACACTTGTCTCGGTTATATGATTGAAAGTGAGGTTTCATGTCTGTAAGATATTCATTATAGATACACTCTGTATGTACATCGAGCGGTGGTATATTGTTTTTACGGGAATGTTAAACTACTTTTTTTTGTATATATTTTTTATATTGACATTCCAGCCAGTGGGAAATAGAATATGAAGAGTGAAACATCTTGTTTTATTATTCCAGAACGAATATTTATATTAATATCAGTTGTGAATATTCTGAGTTCCATCAAATTATTGAGTTCAGTATATTACAATGTCAAGTCAGGTCCTCCACATTTGACAGTTCCTAACATGAATAGCATTCTGTGAATTTTCAATTTGGCTATTTGTGTAGGTGATCTTGGTCACTAAATTATTTTCATACACTTTGGGATCTCTTCCTGCTTCCACACTGAGATAATTTTTCCTGGAAATCATATTTGAGCCACGTGTAACAACTATGGAATCTTGATTCCACACTGTTTTTTTATGGTTATATTCTCACCAGTAACTTCGGAAACCACACTGTTGCCCAGTCTGATTTCCACAAGTTGTCATCATCTTTCAATACGTTTTCAGTGCATTTTCGCCATTTTTGAAAATTGACATTTTCTAAGAACTCTTCAGAGAATATTTTGACTCCTTCCATTTCATATGTTGCGTTTCTTCTTGCGACGAAACCCTTTCCTTGAGATCAAATGAGTTCAATGAAATTGAGATCGCTACGATAACTGGGCAAAAGCAGAATAATAGAATTCCATTTTTGTGCCATCTTGAAGAATACATATTTCCTAAAACAACCTATTATTGGAGTGTCACCAATATTTAGCCAAAGCCTCGGTAGATAATAACATTATCCTGAGGTGGGTTTAAGGCACGACAGGAGTAAAGGTAATCGCATTGCCGACTCTTTAGTCAAAGAAGCCACTGGACTAAGAATTTCAGGACCCAGTGACACCTACGGCCTGATGATTTCGACAATTGCAGAGCTAGCCAAACATCACACTCGTGATCGATCCCTAAAGAGATAGGATGGAATCAAAGGATACAGTCTTGCCAGAATCACCTTGGGCGACCCTGGGAAACTGGCGCCTAAGAAATATCTGGCAATGACCAGAAAAAACCTACGCTCAACTGTAGAATTTCTGACTGGCCACTGTCAACTGAGAAAACACCTCCATATTATGGGGCTAATGGACGCACCTCTATGCAGGATGTGTGAACAGGAAGATGAAACTCCCAGGCATGTCTTATGCGAGTGTCCGCAGTTATAATAATAATAA